GGGAGTCGGTTGCGTTCGTTTGCACGTAGCTAAAAGTTTGATCGGTTTCAAACTTTGCGCAACAACTCCCAACAACATGCAACAACAAGCAACAGGGTGTGCAAACGGACACGACGTGTAACATCTGTTGTGGAGTATTTAAGAATGTTCTCATCTTTAAAGTTTATTTTTCGTTTCATTAAGTGGGTCAAAGTTAGTGTAGATTTTTTTTTTTCGTAGGTGTTTTCCTATTTTGATCTTCTAGTACAGCTCGCGGATTTACTTAAAGTCACTTTAGGACTAGAAATACGTATCTCGCAATAACCGTCGCGAAACTCGGTTTGGTAACGGCGCTCAAGTTAAGCCCTGTCGGTCAGGGTTAAGAAAAGGGTGGGTGACCAACCACGAATATCGTCGTAAAGGTCCATACGTTGTTCTCTCTTTTCTTCTTCTTCTTTTTTGCGTACTATGTGGTGTTATTGTTAACAGTGTATTGAGAAGCAGATTTAGCATTATTTCGGCGTCCGGATTTAGAAAAAGGCAAAAACAAAGAACTAATATGGCAGTGCAGTTCGCCTGAAAATTATTATACTTCGGGCCGTAATACTGAACTGAAGCTTCGCAGACGTTGATCTATATATCGGCGGGGAAACCGGCAAACTAAGAAATCTGGGTTTTCCACAGTGTAAAACGATCATAATGCCTCTAATTCCAATCTGTTCCTCTGTCTCTTTTTGGTGGCGTTGCCTTCGCTGTGCTGGGCAATGTTCTCTCTTCTCCGCGGTCTCTTGTTGACGTCTTCTCCGTCGTCGTTCACGCTAAATTTGAAGTCGGCGTTCTCGTTCCAGAGGAGTTTCGGTGGAAAATCTTCCTGGGCGAGGATTTGCACCTGCTGTGCTTGTGTTTCATTTGCATGGGAAATTGTTCGTGATTCACCGATAGTAAACTTTGAACCTTGGTCATCGGCGGCAAAGTCTATGTTGCCTGGAAACGCAAAATGCTCCATGACGTCATTGGCGGACACCAAGAATATATATTCATGAAAAGATTTATGGCGCATCGAATTTTGCAGCTGGCTAAGACCACGCGCGGTTAGCAGACTACTCGCGCTTCGCGCGCGACGAGATTATAAAGTCGCTACGCTCGGAAATATTGCTCTCTGCTATTGATGGTTTTAACAGTGACGCCATCAGATTGCAAAGTAAAAAAAGCGAGGTTTTACGAATTCTTATTTACACTAGGTTGAAGATAAATAGAAAATAAATCTTTGAAGTTTCATTTCGAATTTCCGAGTTTTCACAGTGCGTGACACCAAAAAGGAATGCTGTTTCATTGAAAAAGGTCATTCCTCTTGATTTTCAGCAGGTTAACCATTTCAGGTGTTAAAAGATGTGTTTTTGTGCACGTATGCTAGCTCTCGAGTGAAAAGGAAGAGCTTTTATAGAAAAAGTGAACTCCAGATCTTTTTATTGATTTCCGGAGGGCATATTAGTGAACAGTTTCTGTCCACCAATATGGCGTCTCCATACAAAGCTCTAACGAAGGCACTTGAAATGTTTAGGCAAATAACTTAGAAACTGTGGACCACAAAGACCTGAGATTTGGATAAATTGTTAGTCTGTTACAACAATTCATTTTCTTGGCTTCTTCAACAGGACGGTTTTTAGTTTATTTTTTGTGCCGTGTTAATTGCGTGACAGTGAAAACGAAGAATTGTCAGAATATTGCTACTTTATCATAGGTGGCCGTTGTTGTCACGTCAGCGCTGACAATTGGTTCATTAGTCTGGTTGAAGTTCCTGTTTTGGCTTGTTAACCAGCGTTTTAGTTTTTCATCGGTTTGTAGCTTTTTACTGATCCGGCAACCATGTAGGTTCAGAAATACCAAAACATCACCCACGCCGAGTTCACTTGGTTTTTTATTCCCACCGTCAGCTAACTCAAGCATGTCCAGCTTTGGTCAGCTATTTGACTTACTTAGAGCAAGGATTGAGTAGAGAAGAAGAGTAAGAAGATTAAGATTGTTAGCAGACGTCAAAGAAGATAAAAAATAAAGACCAAGATGTTAATCACATTCCTAGTACCTCATCGTCTAGCGAGCGAGTTGATTGATTGTTGGCCAAGAACGGGCAACAATGTTGTGTCGGTTAATTGCACGGGGCTTAAGTGCTAGGCAGTACTGTAGTCAATACGGTATTGAAGGCAGTCACTTGCAAAGTACACTATATTGTCGAGACTAAGACGAAATAATTAAGGAATTGTACATTATCAAATGCACTCTCATCGTCACATATCTCATTTTTCAGTATGTCAACACAACCGGAGCTCGAGTGTGTTTAAAGGAGTTGTACAAGTCAAAGTACAACCCTCTCTCTGTATCATATACTGTCTTGTCAGGTAAGAACGGTTTAGTGGCATTCTTGTTTTAGCAACACATAGGTTTTACTGATTACTCACAACTAATTCATTATGAATGCATACAGAGATAACTTATATACGAGAGTCATTTCATTAATAGAGGAAGGCGATCATTTAAAATATTAGCTCCCTGGAAGTCGTTCAATGTTTTTGCTACTGATTATTCCATTTAATCAGTAGATACTGCTCTCAATTTGGCGTCGTCAGTTTTATTTTCCTCTTTTCCTCCTGCTAAGCCTATCGGCCGCACAAGCAGTTGGAATGATGTTTGTGAAGCTGCCTCGATCGTCCCCAGTCGCTCGCGTTGCTTGCCTGCATTTCTCGCGCTTCTCGATTGTTCTGTTCTCCCTACTAAGCCTTGGGAAAGCCTGTGGAAAAGGCACTCTCTAAGGGACCAAATGTGTGGAGATTTCTAAACTGCACAGTCGTTTTATATCTTTATCACAGATATTTGCCAGCCAAGATGGAGTTTTTTTGGTGGCTACTGTTACTTCACAAGTCGTGCATGCGCCTCTTGGCTGACCGCTGAATCAAACTGTTCTACGATGAGTTCCAATTTGGTAACGGTTCACGATCAGGAAGAAAATGTCTACATTCAACACCGTCACAACGGAGAGAGATCTTGGATTGGACTCAATGACCGAAGTGTGGAGGGCTCCTTTGTGTGGACAAACAAAGAAATAAGCAAATTTAGGTTCTGGGCCCCACAGCAACCGAACGATTGGAAAAACGAAGACTGTGTTCACACTCTTGGAGCCAAGCATGGTTACACTTGGAATGATGTGCCATGTACTAACTGTTACAACTACACTTGTTTTAAAGGTACTAAGCGTAGCAAGGTTTATAACTATCTAATATTAATGATCTTCATGTTCCAGATAGTGAATCTCAGTAGACATGTAACTACGTTAAAAAGGTGATAACACAATTAAAGCATATCCTATTACACGGAAAACAAGTTACCGGTAGGCAGATTGTATGGAAAGCAAGAGAGGGTAACACCAATCAGACTAGACTCAAGTAAAGGTAGTTTCGGTATTAGAAACATAAGGATTACACTTTACATTTGCATTAAAAAATATCCATTGACCGAAAAATAGCCTCAAAAGCATGAAATCGGTATAATCAAAAGAAGAAGGGAAAAGTCGCGCCAACCTCCACGTAATTTTCAACCATGTTTCTTAGACACCTTTTTGCAAATGGTTAATGAGCATAAGCTCAGGGAAAGCTCCCATACGACCATTTTTTTTAAGTCCCTTTTTTTTGCCTTGCTAGTGTACGTTACTTACCGTCAACTAAACTACATTATTATTCATTCAAAATATTTCCCCGATTCTGATTAGCTAAAAGCACACGTTTAATTCACCATAACCAGTTACTGATGACCAAATTTGGAAGAATTTTGTGTTTAGCGAGGAAATGACGTCAAAAATGCAGCGTTCTTGCAGGTTAATGCACCGTTAACCGAGAAGACCTGGGAACGAGGTTGAGTTGTTTTGGTTAAAAAAGGCGGACATTTCACTCTTTTCAAGAGTAAGAATTAGGCAAAAAAAGCACTAAAAAAAAAAAGTGCACTATCGAGGATGAACTTATCATCGATGGATCGATGGAGGTAAGCACGTTTTAGCCATGTTTTTAAACTAGGAATTATTTTGAATGAATAATAAATTAAACCAATTCAGTATTGAGTTCGGCTTTCGTATCATATGAGGAATTATGAAAATCTCGGAGGGTTTTATCCGCCTCGGCCTACGGCCTCGACGAATAACACCCCCACCCCCCCTGATCTCCATAATTCCTCATAAGATACTCAGTCTCATTCATTAATTGTTAAATATTTTCTTTTTAAACAAGCTTCACTAACTAAAAAAGTCATGTTGTGTGACAAGAAGCCTCTGTGTGTTTATTTTAATAGACCTGGATGAATGTACCACTGGTTCCCATTCCTGTGACGTCAATTCTGTATGCCAGAATACCGTGGGTTCATACGCATGCTCGTGTAATGCTGGGTACACTGGAGATGGAAAACCCTGCAATGGTATTTAAGATAAACTGTCGATCTTTCATGTGCGACCATCCTTCCTAAGCGACCCATAAGCCGAGATGGATCTACACATATCGTAACTTTGAAATTGCGCACAATAAAGTATTTTTTCAAACGCACCACCTGTAGTTCGATTCTTGTAAGCGACACCCTCTAGTCATGTAGCAGCTCTCCTAACTCTAAACGTCAAAAAATGGGAAACAATAAGAAGCAATGACGTGTTATTGTTTTCTGCGACCAGTGAGGAAATACCTAACGAGCATCTCCTACATTAGCCCTCTCTAATCTGAAGGTTCCACTTCGACTGTAATACTATAGTCAAAGAAGACAACGAAACCGATTGAAGGCGTAATGCTTTTTTGCAAAATATCGACACTGTCATGGCGTTTTGGTAAAAAACCTAAGACCATATTTGTTAAAGTAACAAACAAAAGCAAAAACAAAAATGAGTACATCACCTTAGCAGCAATTCAACCAGATGTACACTATTATTCTCAGTCTCCATATATCTGTTATTCTAACGCTTTATGTAACTTACAATTCTGATGCAGATATCGACGAGTGTTCTACCAACTCTCACAGTTGTGACGTTAATGCGATGTGTAGCAATACTGTTGGATCGTACGCATGCGCCTGTAAAGCAGGATTCACAGGCGATGGAAAAACATGCTCTGGTAAGGGGTTGCCGTGTTGTAAAAAACGCTTCTAAGACGATGAATGTGCCTGTATGTTCTACTGATTCGATCTTTATGTTTAAATATGTAGAAAACGATGGACATAACCTAAAGTAAATGTTTCGAAATAATAATTAAAGTATAATTAAAGTAAAACAAGAAATACAGTATCTCGCATACTCTCAGTGACTCAAGTCGGTCTTGCACTTAACATTATGTCAAAGCGCGTCATTGTAGCAATGCACGAAAATTAGCAAAAGATAAAAAAAATAAAAAAAATAAAACAATCCTCCTTAACCAGCAGGTTATAGGATTACAGCAGTTCTTGTCTTCTGACATGAACAGTTAGGTATAACAATAAAGGGCATGTTGCAGAGGTCAGACCCTTTGAGAGAAATAAAAGGTGCTTAAAAATCGACTGTTTGGTCTGTTGAAATAACGGAAAGGGATCTTGTGACAGTACTGGTGTTACCTATGAGCTGGTCTTCCAAGATTCCTGGAGTAAATATATTGGAGAATCATCACTGTTCGAACCCTATAACCTGGTTACGGAGGATTGTTTTTATTTTTATTTTTTATACCTTGTGTTATTTTTTGGTTGTTTTTCGTGCATTGCTACGTGACGCGCGTGTCAATTATTTCGGATATCACTAAGTGTGGCGTACAACTGCAGATCGAGGTCATAAGACGAAACTATAGCTAGTTTTGTAAAAATCCCCTGGATAAATGTGTGTTGAAAGTGGATCTTCATTAGATGTTTCTTTTTCTCTGTTGACATTTCGAATCCCGTTGAAGTCCCGAGTTTATTACTTTTTTTTTTTTCGGATTAATTTGCAATTTCTTTAAGTGCAATTACAGCTAATTACCACTGGGACGATCACATCTTCATTTAAAAATAAATCACTTATGTTTCTCTGAATGTCATTCAGACAGATATTCTAATAGCGGGGCTCCCGCGCGCGCGAAGCGCGCGTGGGACAGAGCCCCATACTCATGGAATATGGTCAACCTCTTTTCGTTTGGTTGTCACGTGATTGACCGAGCGTACGTACGTACGTACGTACATACGTACGTACGCGTCTACAGATTGTACGGGTGGGGTAGGGGAGACTATCAAAAGGAAGGGAGGGGTGTCTCAGGCGTGTCTTGGCAAGTCCACATCTTTAATATAGGATTTTAGGACATTCACAATATGGTCAATTGACAGCTGTCAAAACAGGATAGCCACTGACCAGTATCCCATGACCATATCGCGGGCTCATGTGTCAACTCATCGAGGTGACGTGATTTATTTGGAAGCTGTCCGCTGACCAATTAATTGTTTTACTAGATCGCGAACAATGTTCAATCTCATACTTTTACTAGTTAAACTGATAATGCACACATATTGGACATCAATGTTTTGATCAATTGACAGCTGTCAAAACAGGGTACCCGCTGACCAGTATCACTTGACCGTATCGCGGGCTCAGGTGTCGACACATCGAGGTCAAGTATTTTTTTGAAGTTATCCGCTGACAAGTTACTAGTTTTCAAGTGATCGCAGGCTCAAGTTCAAGTTTTTTCAAAATTCATATGAAATATGTTGTGTTTCTGTGCTACACAATTAAAATTTTGATTGCAAACTGACCTCGGACGCGAAAATTCAGCCAGCTGTTACAGGCAGGGAAGACAGTTGCTTTTGACTTTTCTCACCATGGTCACGCGTTGGTCACGCTCTACGTCCAATTTTTATGCTCTGATTGGTCAAAATTTGACAGGTGAGTTCATGCGGAAAATTTATGCAGCATCTTGAATCTTGCTTACTTTGACAGCTGAAGCTGACAGAGTTTTGTGTCAACTTGTGATGTTTTTAACTGTCTTTTTCCACTGGATGTGCAAAATGAAATTCAGCTGCTATCAGGAGTCCTCTGTTATTCATGGCTAGTTTGTTTATTGGGTTTTTGGTTGAGGAATACGTCGCTTGTCAAAGTCGGAAATCCGATTTCGGATGGCATCGTTTTCGTTTTCACCTTGCTTGATGCGTAAGAGGATTGCAAAGTCTGAAGCGATACTGGCTTTTCTTGATACCTTTCAGGAGCTGCATCTCGAATGGTAAGCCAGAGAAATTATTGTATTTGATGTTTGTTTTTTTGGATCTAATTTAATAAAGTCGAGCGGAGTTTATGCGGTCATTTAGTTTATGCACGTTTGTAAGATTTGAGACAATGATCTGACCGAGTATCAGGTTTGATATAAGCTTACAGAACTTTAAAAAGCCTTTAGACAGTTTCTCACCGCAAATAGAAAGAAAACGTTCCAAAGAATATTTAGTTACAATTCTGGCCGGAAAAGAAAGCTTTGAGCGATTTTCTTGCCTCGAGTTCGTCTTTGAAAAAGGCAAACACCTGGAAGCCGGCTTAATAAACTTAAGCTTGAAGCTTGAAGACTCAGGATTTTTAGGGATACTTTAATACTTGTCTTCCTGAATGAAAATTGTTGGTTCTGTATATGTTTCACCGAATTATATTTCTTTTATTGATTGTTAGTAGTCTCTCTTGTAATTTTAATCGCTGTGCCGATTGTTTTCAGTCGTTCAGTGAACATCGCTTGCAGAGTACTCAAAATGCCGGGCGTTAATAAACCATTAAATAAAAAATAAACAGAATAAATTCTTTATAATGTTGGAGCATAACTCTGTTAATGTTCATTCAAACACTCGCCACAGCTCGCACTACAAAAGTGAGAACCGGATGGCCGTATAGGTGATTTTGGAAATTTTTTTAACAGTTTATGAATATTGAATGAGTGCAATTTGTATTGTGAAATACTGCTTTCTGTCCGAGGTCTGCCGGTATGATAAAAACAGTGCCTCATACTACTGTTTCACCTCAGATGTGATGTATAAATGGTATAAAAGGTTGGTTTACACGCACCCAGATTTGTTGACAAGATTTTGCAAAGTAAACTTGTTGAACGCAAAAAAGTTAGCCTGATTTTTTTTCCACTAATTAATCTACGGTGATCAAGAGCCATTATGGCTCTTAAATGTGATCGAAGATGATTACCAGTTTTTGGGTGTACATATGAGGCTATCAACTCGATGTAAGATTTGGTTCACTCTTGGGCTGTTTGCAAATTATTTTTCTCTAAAATCAGCTGGCCTTTCCCTCAAAAGTCACATAAATGTGCTCTAAAGTTAACTGAATTGTGGAATTCGAATACAAGGTTATTGTTTAATTTAAATTATAAATTTATTAATGGGAGCCTCGCTTTTAGCCCTGGCTAAATCTATGTATTATTTAGAGTTCTTTCGTGTTCTCAGATATCGACGAGTGCTCTACAAACTCTTACAGCTGTGACGTCAATGCAGTGTGTAGCAATACTGTGGGATCATACGCATGCCCCTGTACAGCAGGATACACAGGCGATGGAAGGACGTGCAATGGTACGATTTTTCGTTTCGTTTTGTTTTATTTTCCTTGAGGTGGTGGAAACAAATTAACAATATCATGATTCATGATGCAACAATTTTTTTAGAGCCGTAGGCGGGGTTGCATAAAGCCTCCACACAATTATTAATGCAGGACAGGAGCCCAGCTCAGGACTGTACAGAACTATTACTGTTTCATAGACCTTTTGGTCGACTGACTGTTATTCTTCCCTATAGAACGAACTCATTTACTGGTCGAAATGAGTAATTTAGTATAAATTTGTTATTCAATATTTTCAATTTTCCCAACTCAAACCCCGTTATTCTATCACTGAGTTCTATGCAAAAATTAAAAGAAGCAAAGCCTGCCTAAACTTCGTCGTCAAGTACGAAAGTGTCTCAAGGTTTTTTCTACTTTTTGAATCCACTATCCTCCACCTGTTTATATGTTGCATCAATTGCTTGACTTGGTTTCCAATAAGCATCTAATAGTTTTCTTTAGGAATGATAACTGAATATTTTTAATGTTCTTGCACTATATAGCCTCAGTTGCATCCGGCCCACGCACTCGTCTAAACCATTCGTATAGTCCGTCTGCGAATTAGTTATCATGAGCTCGTTCTAATATCCTGTAGGGTCACAAGGACGTATGTGAGCGTTTCTGATAGGCAGGTTTCTTACGGGCTTCTTAATTAAGCGCCTTACGATCTCTGTACAAAAGGTTTAGAGCGTCTGCGGCGCAGGCAAGCATTGTAAGGCGTTCTTAAAAAGACACACGATGCATCTAAATATATAGTAGAATCAAATCTTACATGTAGCCTTGAAAACATCAAAAATGTTTGAAACATCAGCACTCTGAATCTCCATTCGTAGATGTTGATGAATGCACCGGCGGTTTACACAGCTGCCATAAGTTCGCTTCATGTACAAACACTATTGGATCCTACCGCTGTTCATGTCACCAGTATTACAATGGAGACGGTAAAAACTGCCAGCACTCTGTGAGCGGTGAGTATAGTTTTCATTGGTCTGGATTAGTTAAAACAGGTAGAAAACATTCAGTGGAAGAGGAGTACTTGAAGTGTTTTTAAAATTCGGGCACATTACCTGCAGGCCAAAAATTGTTCCTAACAGAGTCCATGAAAAAATTTCCATGCCTTAGTTCCTTAAATACCTCTCATATATAAACAAAGTTTGAGGTCCATCTAACTTAAATAAGTAATTAATTATTAAATTAATTGTTTTTTAATCTTCCACAAATATATAACGAGAATATTGTATTAGCAAGTTAATTATTTTATGATTCGCAATAATATTGATCAAGTTCAGCATTTCAGTGCAAATAAACTGTCTCCTTTTCTGGCTGCGCGGAGAGTGAACGTATTAACCTGGCCCCTTTTGCAAACACACATCTCCCAGCATTGGATTAGATACATAGATACATACATATTTCACTGGCTGGTCCCCACAGGCCTTTTCAGAGTCAATGTTACCATAAAAACTGGGAAATAAAAAAATAATAAAAAAAAAAATAACAATTTAAAAAACACTCGGTTCCTGCACACAGAGGGTTAAAAACGCGAAAAATAATTAGCTTACTAAAGGAAGGCGTCCTGAAGTCGCCTAAGTTGATGCTTAAAACTAGTCAATGATCCGCCTAGTGTAAGTGCTGGTTGCAACTCATTCCATAATGACGTCGCTCAAAGGCGGATCGGACCAGTATAGAAAAGTGGTATGCTTAACATTTCCGAGTCCTTGGTTTTCTTTGTCGAGTCGGCCGATCTTTTTACGAGCTTTGAAGTTAAGTATCCTGGAGCACACTCGGTCATGCACTTAAGTGCGAAAACAGCAAGTCGAAAATATAGTGGTGCTGGTGGTTGCTTCCTTTTGACAAGGGAGTCATGTGATCGAATTTTCCATCTACGCCTACAATTTTACAGGCGAAATTTTGTGCTGCTTGGAGTTTGTCCAGATTAGGTTGGATGGTGTTGCTCCAAGAGGGGAGTAATAAAACAGCTTACAAAAAACTAATGCGTTTGTGATAATAATCAAAAAAGCGTTTTTCTCGGGATTGATTTGGCCTATTCATACATGAGGACACAGTAGAAACAATATGCTCGTTAAATGTAAAATTAGTGTGTAGTATCACACCAAGGTCTCTTATACCTTTAACGGGTTCCAGTTGTTTCCCCAAAAGAGAGAGGCGAAAGTTATTTATTTACCTTGGCAGTCATTTGTCTGCTGCCAAATATGATAAGTTTGTATTATCTGGATTAAGGGCTGGTTACTAAAACATGAATTCCGAATCGTCAACAGGTCCTGGTTCATGTTAGTCATCGCTTTCTCTTAGCTTTATCGTGGAGTTGAAATGGGATTAGAAGTTTGGTATCATCAACATAACATTGTAGGGAACAGTTTTCGGAAATCGAAGGGAGATCATTAACGTAGATGCTAAAAAGTAATAGACCCAGGATGCTCCCCTGTGGGACGCCAGAAGTGACAAGTAGCTTGTCAACAACAACAACAACAACAATATCTTTTTTTATTCGCCTCGTACTTAATTACATACATGAAAGAGAAAAATTTATATAATTAATTAATTTGTCCTCCCTTGTCCGACAAGGGTGTGTTTATTCGCACGGTTTGGTATCGTGAAGTCAATTAGCTCCGAAACCATTCAATCACTGATACAGAAGCTCCAGAATCCTGTTATTTGTCCAGAAGTATCTCATGGTTATTAGTACTGTCAAATGCTTTGCTCAAGTCGGGAAGAAAAAGGTCAGTTAGTTTCCTTTTATCAATGGCTCTCAGGATTTCATCGGTTGTTTGAATAACAATATGCAACTAACTAAACAAATTTTTACTGCACATCTTATGGAGCAGCTCTCCATAATAATGCCTTGCATTATTAAAAGGCGGATTTGGGCGCTTTGCCAAATAGAGCCAACAATCCATCCACTCATAAAAGTTTCACTTCTTTCGCACTGTACCTTAATCAGCATATCAGCTGCAAGATTGATTTATCATCAAAAGGTAGAAAAGAAGGCGTCAGTGAAAATGCCAACACAGGGTCGGGGTTGGGGTCCGCTGTCCTTTATTTCGTTTTAGTTTCTGTTGTTGTTGTTGTTGTTTTTTGTTTTGTTTTGTTTTGAGTGAAATCTGCTAAAACGACAAAAAAAGAAACACGATTTTTAGTCGCGACTTGAGCAAAAAAAAAACAGAAGAGGAACTGAAACGTTACGACAAGGACCACATTAGCTGCCGTAAACTGATCGGATGGACTGATGATCAGTGGCCAATCTAAAACCTTGAGAATCATCAAAGGGTTCTTGGTCCATATTTTACGAAAGATAAAGAAGCGTCACCGTAACTGATTGTCTCCAGTCGTCATATCCGGGACACGATTACCATATTTGGAAGATGTAGGCAGTTGATACAATCGATGGCATGCTCCTCCTTGGCTCAGTCCCCAGCCTTGGGTGTCCCGATGTGCAGGACGGCTGGGCGCACGGGCTTAGCTATTCTTAAAATTGACCAATCAGAAGCCAGCCCGCAGACTTTTGCTGGCTGGCTTCTGATTGGTCAATTTTAACGATTGCATAAATTTATTTGCGTGATAACGAAAAGCTATTTTAGTAAACAAAGGTTGCAGGCGTTACAAGATTGAAAATGGTTACTTTCTTGGCCTTGAAAAGTTTGTTCTGGATAATTTCAAGGAAGAGGAGATTCTGACTTTGAAGGAGCCTATTCTGGCTCGAGATAAATTTCTTATTCTACCAACGAGTTCATGGATATCTTTAAGTTTTCGATCTTTTCGCGCGGTAGTGGATTACATGGAAGGCAACCAAAACTGCAGAGCCTATTATCATTGTAGTCTTTCCACTTCTGTCCTTGAAGAAAGGCCAAGTAAATTATCTAAACAGCAAAGGTATATAAAGGCAGCTTCCATCGGTAAAGGACAATTATATCAGTGGCGTTTAGAATTAGTTTCATTTATCTTGATCAATCCGCGCTAATTCGTAGCGTCGGAGTCACTTCTTAAAACGATACTTCTCATGATCAATACTACCGTACTGCCATTTTGCGTAGTAAACTTACTTGAGTTTGAGGGCAGACAAGCCTTATAAATTCACTTAATAATAATAATTATCATTATTATTAATTATTAGAAGAAGTAGTAAGACATATATTCAAATGAAATTAATTATCTGCGTATCGGAAACTGCCTGAAAAAGAACCAGAAGATAAAAATTGTATGAGCTTTAAATCTCAAGATTTGATGCGCGTTACTGTGCGAAACATACTTAAGTTTAAATTCAGCTTACGACTCTATTGTCTCACGATCGTGTTTTAAAGTAATGTTATGAATGAAAAAAACAGAAATTATTTCTGGCAAACCTTTGTTCGAAAACTCATATGCTTTACGAATCAGCGAATCCAACAACAGGCACTACTCGTTCTTCGCGAAATGAAGTGACAGCCTGCAAATTTTTGCTTGTAAACAAATTTAAACCTTAGCTATTCAGCTCTGGTTTAGCCATTATTAAAACTTTCTTTTTCCTTGTAGAACATATTTTATTTAAGCTTCCTTTTGTGTATTTATGCCCCATTTACGACGAATTCATGACCAATCCTTCTCCATGTTGTTATGACTCATTTAGGCTTATGTTCAACACTAAATCCGACTCAAATCGGGGCTCATTTTTCAATTTTCTTTAAAGCCAAGGTCAAGATAAAAAAAAACTTTTATGAAACATTTATAACTGCACAAATTCCCTTTTGAAAGCGTAATTTCTTTGGCAATAATGTGAAAAATGTACCTGGAAATTATTCACAAACTTTGCTGTATTGGTTGCATGCATTTCAAAACAGAACAAGCGTTCTGCCGTGAAGAAACCTTGGTCGAAGACATTGAAGTCAATTTTCCTGGTTGATAGCTTTTCTTTTTCCACAAAAAGGAAAGAGAGAATTCTTTTGATCATTACCTTTCTATCTGCGTCTTCAAACAGTTCATTTGTAATCTCGCTACGAGAAAAAAATAAGCTATCTACTGTCTTTATGGGAGATGGTTCCTGTTCATGAGGAAAAATCGTCATGCATAAATTACTCAGTTAACACCATAACGTCATGCACAAGAAACTTAGCCCGTGCGCCAAGCGGTCGGGTGGGGAGTAGCGCGGGCGCATCTTGACACCCAAGGCTGAAGACTGAGCCTATGCTCCTCCGCGATATGCATAATTCTGCACATCATACTCAGCCTCATTCAATGATTGTTAAATACATGAACTATTTGTGACTCAATAAGGTTCTCAATAGAAGAGGAAAACTTTGAACTTGCCGTTCCGCCATGTTAAGGCAGGGAGTCGAAAAATCATTACATTGATCATGATCGAACCAGTACATTATTCACGATATGTTTACTATTACTTTCAATCCGGAGAACTGAGTTCTCTAATTTTGCCGATTAACTGCGAATGCGGTCAACTTCAACCGTCGAGACCTAACTTTGGCTAACGAAAAGTTCGGAAATAGATCCTCAGAGAAAGTTCCCGTAAATATTAACTCGCTAGTTAGACTAAGTATCTTTTTTTCATTATATAAACACCAATGAAACGTGAGCTTTCGCGCGAAAACTTGATATCTTCACGTGTGAAAATAACATGTTATCTTCACACTTGAAAATATCACCGTTGCTATGGCTACAGAATAAATCGCGCCTTTCACACCAAAAAACTATTAAAGTGAAATGGTTTGGTGTTTATATAATAAATAGAACATTACATGGCCGCTTGGAGATACGAAATTTCTCTTCTCGTGTTGAAAAAATATTTCACTCGTTCCGCTGCGCTCACTCGTGAAATATTTTTCAACACTCGAAGAGAAATTTCGTATCTCCGCGCCGCCCTGTAATATCCTCTATATCTTTTTTAGTATCTGTTTTTAGTATCTTGTGTTTGGATTTTATTTTTATTCATTCACGGTAACCTTTGAAATAGCCTGAGTATCAGGCCTTCCTAAGGGGCTAGGGGAGAGGATATTTTAGATGGGGGAGGCAGGAGGGGGACAAGAGAAAGGAAAAAACTTATTCACAAAAATGTCCACGTTTGTAAACTGAGAAATCACGAGACTAATCCAATTTTACGTCTGTTTATTCATCGAGCCAAGAATAAGTTGGTGAAGTGAGACGCAAACAATTCTTACATGTACCAGTCACTGACCGGTTTGCAATTCTGCAAAACTTAATTCATATCAATTCCCATTATGTCACGTCGCATCGCAGTTAGATGTAGTGACACTCTCTTCGAACGTTTTTCCCTCTTGTACGATACAGAATAACTGTGGAAATTTCTTTAATTTGGATAGTCGTTTTTGCGAAGGCAGGTAGACGCTTAGAGCCTGTTACATGAAAGGTGGGGGTCCCCAGGTAGGTGAGGTGAACCACTTAGGTAGGGTAACCCGCCTGTTCATACAATCTCTCATATGGTTACCCCCACCTATCATGTAAACTTGATCAAATTTATTATGAGAGATTATATGAACAGGCGGGTTACCCACCTACACGTGAAGAGGCCTTTAAACTGTGTACTTGAGGTTGTACAATGTATTTGTATAATTATATCTGACCATGCAACCTTTGTTATTTTGGCTGCCTTGGTGTTCCCGTTTTATTATTATTATTTTTTTTAGTTAAAAAGAGAAAACCGTTATTTAGCAACCATATTAAAGTGAAATATTTAGTATCAGTAATAGTTTATCAGCCTACCCCATAAAATGGCTTTTCAGCCAACTTTCAAATTGCAATTTGATAATTAAAAGCATAATTATCTACTTCACAATATGTGAAATTTACATTGTATTGGGAAAAATGTATATATACATTGCTTGTAGTACCTAACGTCAAACCACTATATGATGCTTACACCACGTATTTACCCTCGGCGGACTGCTCATGGTCGCTGACCGGAAGTGAATTTAAAGGAAGGCATGTCTAACTTATTTCTGTTTCCGATATTACGAGAGTGCGCATCGACCATTTTCTTAAACCTGTTACAGATAAGGGGCTGGGCAAGTCCCTTAACCTGTGTTAAATAAACTCGAATTTTTTTAAGGCTTGTTAAAAAACGCAAGGCACGCGTTTTATCACTGGTTAAAAAATCTTGCGCTTACTACGCTTGAATGTTAAACCAGTGATAAAACACTGCTGTTCGTGTTTTAAACATTACTAAACACGGAACACTTACAGACTAGAAAACGATTGTTTTTCCTTTTCCTACATTGAGATACATTCGCCTTAGAATTAAACAACAAAAAACATTCACTAATATATGACAATCAACTTGAACGAAATGGAATAAGAGTGATAAAAATTAATGTGAAACAGTGTGAATACACTTTTTAAGTGACTTTTTCGCTCCATGTCGTCGCCCTCGTGGTTACTTTAGCTCCCTTTAGCTTTTATGGAAAGAGACCGTGACTGATGGGGAGATCGGGTATGACAAATATCTGTGAGATTAAGGACTCTAGGCCTCCGACCGAGTTTAATAAACTCAAGAGGGCTAGACTTTAACGTCACTGAAATTTGTAGTAGGCTGCGACATTAAAATCCCAGGGGGGAGGGGTACTCCCCCGAGTTTTGGATAGGGGTGTGCCGCAAAGGTTCGTGAACCCTAACCCTATTTAAGGACTAAGAAAGCGAAAACTGATACCCTTTAAGGCCCAAAGCCGAAAAATGACACCCTATTCAAAGAAAAAACAAAATTATTAATAGCATGAAAAGGAAAACTTTATTTCTTCTCTGTAACATTGGATGTATAGCATCAAGCATAAAATACAAGAATAAGCCTAGTTAAAAAAACAAAAAAAAACCCCTTCGTTTAGGCGGGCGTTTTCACACTCCAGTACTAGATAATACAAGTAAGGTACCCTATCTAAGGACCACACCAGGGACACAGAAACAAAAGGGTCAAAAAAGATACCCTATTTAAGGACCGACAACCTCAAAAACCATACCCTATTCCGCGGCACGTACCTATATAGCTCATATATGGGAGTACCCCCCCAACCCCTGGTTAAAATCGCACCATTTGAAGAGAGAACATCATGCCACAGGCACGCAATCTCAGAAAGAAAAAACTTTATCTAGGGCGTTTGTTATTTTGCGCGTTTCAGGCTGATCATTATTTAACAGTTAATGAATGAGGCTGAGTATCTTATGAAGAATTATGGAGATTGAGGAGGGTGTTATCCGTCGAGGCCGTAGGCCGAGGCGGATAACACCCTCCGAGATCTCCATAATTCTTCATATGATACGAAAGCCGAATTCAATAACTGTTTTATTATTCATTCAAAATAATTCCTAGTTTAAAAACATAGCTAAAACATGCTTACCCCCATCGATCCATCGATGTTCAGTTCATCTTTGATAGTGTACGTTTAGGTTTGTCCAACTCCGCAAATATTCTCCAAATAGCAGATGTCGCCCTTCAAGTTGTCTTCTTGCTGTTCTTGCCATGTTTTTAGCTATTTTTTCGCCTAGTCCTTACTCTTGAAACGAGTGAAATGTCGGCCATTTTTTTTAAGTTCACAACCAAAACAACTCAGTCTCGTCCCCAGGTCTTCTCGGTTAACGGTGCCTTAACCTGCGAAAACGCTGCATTTTGACGTCATTTCCTCGTTAAAGTCAAAATTCTTCCAAATTTGGTCATCAGTAACTGATTATGGTGAATTAAACGTGTGCTTTTAGCCAGTCAGAATCGGAGAAATATTTTGAATGAATAATAAACACGCTTGGAAATTTTGACCTAAAATTCGGCCAACGTTTCGCGGCCGCGCGGAGGATTGGGTCCATGTGAATCAAAAAAAAAAAAAAAATGGCGGCTCAAAGGGAACCTGACCAAGTTTTTTACAAAAATATATTTTTGTAAAAAAGCAGTATTTTTACAACCGCTCAATTTGTAAAAAAGCAGCTTTTTTACTTAAAAATGACGCTTTTTTACAAGGACCGTTTTTTTATGCAACATATATATATATATATATATATATATATATCTGCCTGGAGTTATGAAAACCGGGTTAGCAAACATTTTGTAATTTTTCTCAACTTCTGCTGTCTAATAGCTTGTTTACTGTGTTGTTTGCTTACGTCGTTTGTTTTTTTTGGCTTGTCTTCTGGTTAGAGATTTGTGTAGAAGTGGCTGTAGACAGAATTACTATCCAGCCCCCCCCTCCATTTTTTTCCCTACCCACAATTCTTTCTTTAACACAAGTGACAGTTATCAGTTTGAAATCAGCGGGCGGTTAAGGCTGGTTTCGGTGCTGTTTAGCAGTTAAGTTTTATATATTGGTCACCTTGAGAAAAGTTTCCCGGAGAGCATCATGTAAAGCTCTGAGATGGGACAAAGTTATTACGATTCGCAGAGTGTGCATCGTCCAATATCGTATTATATTCTCGTTTCATTTGGCTAAACGGATTAATCTCCCTGATCCGGGCTGATACAGAAAGGTACGATATTGTTCGCTTTTCTAAGGTGACCACTAAGTCTTTGGCCTCGGGAACAGGCTCTTAGGAGTCAAATGAATTAGTTGAGAGGAAAATTGCAGCTGAACTTTGACCCGGGCCAAGACTTAGTATTTTTCTGGTGTGAAAACAAGGCTAAGGTGATCCGCCGACCGTGTGTCTCTAGATCCGGGAACTTGAATAAGACGAGTGTAAGAGAAAGGTCCAGAGGTGTTTATCTGGCAATAGGCTGAGTTTTTCCGAGTTATTCGATGATATTTGGCTTATGTTAAACGTGAGAAGATTATGCGTGGTTGTGGATAGTCTTATCAGTGCCGCGAAAGTGTGTGATTGTGTGATTTCCGCATGCTGTTGACAGGTATGTGATTGCGTGGTTGAACTGCGGTTTCGCCAAAATATTCTGTGCCAGCCATTAATATTGTTTCGTCGGTGTTTAGCTTAGCTGATTGTACCTTGGAAAAGCAACTCTCGACTCAGGAAAATTAGATCTAGGTCTAGTTTCAGCAGGCTCTAATGGCATTGCACCATAGGCCGGTTTTTGCAGACAAGAAGGTGATAATTTGTACACTATGTTTCATTCAGTTTGTAGTCTATTCCATGCGGAATCCTGTTGTTTATCGGACCGCCCAAAGAGTAGTGTTTTGCTAACTATTTAAGTTGTTATGTAAGCCTTAACCAGGCACTCTTTCGCTGCAGCTCACTCAACTTAAAAATTTCTAGACTGAAATGACACCGGTTTGAAACTTCGCGAAGTCAGTTTACTGAATAAATGTTCTAAAATTTGCGTCATTCTAAATTTGGACTCGTTGGAATGCTTCTAGGGACCATTAACGCACTGCCCGGCGTCATATAAAGGCATATATATATATATATATATATATATATATATATATATATATATATATATATATATATATATGTTGCATAAAAAAACGGTCCTTGTAAAAAAGCGTCATTTTTATGTAAAAAAGCTGCTTTTTTACAAATTGAGCGGTTGTAAAAATACTGCTTTTTTACAAAAATATATTTTTGTAAAAAAGCAGCTTTTTTACGTAAAAAAGCTGCTTTTTTACAAGTTACCTGGTTGTAAAAATACTGCTTTTTTACAAAAATATATTTTTGTAAAAAAGCAGCTTTTTTATGTAAAAAAGCTGCTTTTTTACAAATTAGCCGCTTGTAAAAATACTGCTTTTTTATGTAAAAAAGCTGCTTTTTTACAAAATATATTTTTGTAAAAAAGCAGCTTTTTTACGTAAAAAAGCTGCTTTTTTACAAGTTACTTGGTCGTAAAAATACTGCTTTTTTATGTAAAAAATCTGTTTTGTTACAAAAGGTATTTTTGTAAAAAAGCTGCTTTTTTATGTAAAAAGTCTGTTTTGTTACAAAAGGTATTTTTGTAAGAAAGCTGCCTTTTTATGTAAAAATCCTGCTGTTTTACACGTATAGACCATTTGACAAACTCATTTATCGAAGACAGGCTGTTTTCCATAGCATGGTTCGAAATTTATTGAACTGTAGTTTTCGTGCGGCTAGTCACGTTCACGTTCCCGTGTCCCCTTTATTGTGGGGCATTTAAATTCCCTTGTTAACTCGCTGACAGCGTTAAAAATTTACGTTCTTTTTACTCTTTTTATTCTTTCTTCTTGTTTCCTTTGTCATTCAATTTTCCAGGACCTTCTAATTGTTGGATGCGAAGAAGGAACAGGCAGTAATTTCATTTGTTATGCTTATCGGCTGAGGTCACGCACGGCAGTAACTGCATGTTAGGCAATAATAGAATAGCTGGGTTATTCACTGTCTTATTTATAAGCAATGCCTGTCACAATCTCTTGCAGCAACCAAAGACTTCTATTCTCTCCTTCATTGCTACTTTTGTTCAAGCCGAAAACTGTACAGAATATTGTTCTGTATTATTTATCTATTTTCCCAAGGTTATCAGCTGCAATGATCGGTTTAACTGTCAACAAAATACTTGGCTATAATGCTTTGGTGCTCTTAGCAGTGGATAAACAAATTATAACTCCATTTCTAGCATAAAATCTCCAGCAAGAATCAACGACAGCAATTGTTAGGCAATTTCCTGTATTATGTATGATGCGCTAAACTTCTATCACGGGATTCATGCTATGTTGAAATCCATGTTGATGCATGCAAGATTGTCATGTCTGCGTTACAACTTTAAGCTTTCAACATGATGTAGGAACATGTTCAGTCGGCTAATCAAGCAAAAGGAAACGCTAGCCTATAGCTACAAGCGTACATACACTCGCTTGTTAGTCTAATTTTGCAATACAGAGAGCAACTTGTGAGGCCATAAAAACAGCAGACCACAGCAGCCGATTTGTTTATAAGAATTAGGGACTATAAAGGCGGTCTGTATAACGTACGACAATGCGTGTTTTATTTTAGAGATCGAGAAATCAGCCAGAAAACACTTGTAAAGGCTAAACAAGTTTAATATGAACACTAGCTGAAATCGCCAGTAACATTTAGAGTATGACCGTTTTTTTACAAAATATATTTTTGTAAAAAAGCTGTTTTTTTACAAATATATATCAGTGTAAAAAAACAGCTTTCTTACGGTACCGTTTTTTTACACAACATATGTATATATATATATATATATATATATATATATATATATATGTTGTAGTTAGTTTTTTTTATCTCAAGTAATTTTTATTTTTCCTTTGTTTCATCTTTATTACCATACCTAAAAACCCTGGGTCGAATACCAATGAAGACAATTGGCAGAAGTCGCATTATCAACTTGGGATCATTTGAGTCACCCTGAATTGCTTTCACTAGATACATAAAGCCATGCAAGATTAGGCGCGAATCTTTACCAGTTAACCTGTAAGTGAAGTCTTTATCTTTAGCTCTATCCTCAAGGAGCCACCTACCTAGTTGTTTTTTCATTCTCCCTGCTTTAACAGGGTGTCTGTAAAACGCGGACCGGATACCTGCGGATGGCGGATGCGGATGGGAAAATGCGGATAGAAAAATGCGGATGGAAAAAAAAAAAACGCGGATAACAAAAAAAATAAGAAAAAAAAAAAACGAGAAATGCGGATAACAAAAAAAAAAAAAAGAATAAATAAACAAACAAAAAGCAATTAAGGAAAGAAATCTTTCTTTCAAGTCGCCGTCACATGGTTGGACCCTTCACTGCACTTACATCCAGAACGTGATGCCAATAGTTGGCACAGTTTTGTACTCAGTAATTCCTTTCATTAATGTCACAGAAATAAGAACGCTCCGTTCCTCCTCCTTAAATGCACACATACTTGATGCACTTCTCCTGCGAGTGTCTAGCCTAAGGCTTGCAGGCAAGGAAAACAGCTCAAAAAATCGGCTAGCACTGGCCCTGTTTAATATTCTTTTCTTTACCCAATAAGGAGCCAGTGGTCTCTGCAATCACGAGTCAGAATGCAGAATACAGCCTGCGAGTAAGCTCTCCTCTTTGGACGAGCAAAGCGAGTCCCGCGCGTTCTCGCGAGGCTCGTTTCGCTCGCCTAAATAAGAGAGCTTGCTCGCAGGCTATGCAGAATATTACCAGAGCAGCATCCTAAAGCGGTGTAATTCACGAACAGTGTGTCTTTACTTTCGGGAGTGATCGCTGTTTTTTTAAACATTACTTTATTCGGAATTTCATGGTTATCAAGCTACGAGGGGGAGGCATGGGTGTTAGTACTTGCAAAACAAACGACAAATGCAATTTTTAATATAAAATCATTCTGACCTGGAGTTCTGATTTCTTTGCTCCTACTGGATATAGTGTACTCAACTTACAGAAAGAATATTCTTAGGGCAATCAAATCAAGACTTACTTGTTTGAGCGGCTCAAGACAGAAAAAATTGCAGATCAACCAGAAAAAAAGGCCGAACGTAAAAACGTAACCTTCCGATTTGGCAGATGCCAATCAACTCCGCCTATCATGTGGATTTATTTTTTACAAGCTCTACCCTTTGGGAATTTATAAGTGCATGAATAATGATTCGAATTTTTAAAATTGCAAAATATACTGCACATTGAAAAGAAAAAACAGACTTCTTGATCAATCGCAAAAGTTATTTCCCGAAATGGTGCTGAAAAAAAATCACCTAATCAGCAAAATTAAACTCCCGCAAAAAAAAGTGTTACTTCGAAACGCATTAATGAAGGCTACTTTCAGTTTGATTTGTTTTTGTTTCTAATTTTTCTCCTAGCAAAATAGTTTCCAAAACATATCCTCAGTGAGTTTTTAGAACGTCTGTATCGAGCAACTTAAAACTCGTTTTTAAAAGCGTGAAGGGCAGAATTAGGAATCGAAAATAATTTATATAATATTCGAATTATTTGGCCCGCTCCCGTGCGTTTCTACCTGGAAAGATGTTTAAGTATTGCAAATGAGAAAAAAAAACCAAGCTGCTTCTTAAGAATACTTTATATTTTGTTTTGGCTATGTCTACACCAGATCAGCATTTTTTATGTGTTGATGGAAGCTTTTCGTAAAACTGTGAATTCAAAATGGAACAAAGGTCAGATAAATGACTCTGTTGAGGGTGTGGCATGTTGCTTGAAAATGAATTTCTGTAGAAAAACCCTCATTAAACAAGACCGATTCACACAAAACCGAGAGGAAATCAAGTTGTGTAACAGAAGACCACTAGTGTAACAGTAGCTTAGCTTTTGATCTCAAAAACGGGCTTCTGCGGGTGTCTGCAGTTCACAGTCACTCTCTGAACTGGTCTGCTATGGCGGAGTCGACCAGAGTCAAGGCAGAACGAAAATTGATTTGTATTATGATCCCTTTTGAAGATCAGGCTCCTTTGTGAGAAAACATGGCGATTTAGCGGAGGCGAGCGTGAAATAGGCGAAGTAAAACACGCCGACTTTTTCGCGTAATTCACCCTATTTTTAGGTTCAGTTTGTTTTCTCTAATTTTCTTTTAATTTGATGAAATTTAGTCCTTTTTTGTTGTTGTTGTCCGAACAACGTTATACACGTGTTTTGTTATGAAGTGTTCTCGTGACACAATTTATATATCCAAATTTGTGTTTTTTTTTGGTTTTTGATATTGTTCACAATTTTTTCTATCCTCATTTTCCCATCCGCTTCCGCCATCCTCAGGTATCCAGTCCTCGTTTTGCAGACACCTCCTTTGCTAGCCGATTTTTTTTAGCTGTTTTCCTTGCCTGCAAGCCTTAGGCTAGACACTCGCAGGAGAAGTGCATCAAGTATGTGTGCATTTAAGGAGGAGGAACGGAGCGTTCTTATTTCTGTGACATTAATGAAAGGAATTACTGAGTACAAAACTGTGCCAACTATTGGCATCACGTTCTGGATGTAAGTGCAGTGAAGGGTCCAACCATGTGACAGCGACTTGAAAGAAAGATTTCTTTCCTAATTGTTTGTTTGTTTATTTATTCTTTTTTTTTTTTTGTTATCCGCATTTCTCGTTTTTTTTTTTTCTTCTTACTTTTTTTGCTATCCGCGTTTTTTTTTTCCATCCGCATTTTTCTATCCGCATTTTCCCATCCGCATCCGCCATCCGCAGGTATCCGGTCCGCGTTTTACAGACACCCGCTTTAACATCTTGTTCCATGGCCTTTAAATACCTGGACATTGCCGAATTGGAGGGCAAATCATCAAGGCTATTTAATTTTTTGGGGAGGTTACTTACAGAAATAGCAAGATCAAGTAACATTGCATGAAAATGTTGGACACCATTATTCTTAAGGTGAAGTGGTTCAACAACTTCCTTGTCACATAGCTTACCAATTAATGGTTTGAATTCTTGTCTGAATTTTTTTACAGCAATAAATTGAGTTACTTTGGATCTCTTTGTTGATACTGCTAAATGACTAGGTACTTTTTTCTTGAAATCTTCAACCTGTTTTGCAACATTGATTCTTTCTGCATACTGCCAAGGCTTCCACTTACAATCATGAGATTCTCCATACTTCCCATTCAGTGCATTACAGTCATCTTTGGAGACATTAGCAAAGCTAGAAAAATATTTAGCCGCATTACTTAATTCCCCATTTATATATGCAAGGAGTTTCATATCTCCTGGCAAGAGATCAAAAGAAAAGGTGACATTCTTACCCAATACTGTGTAAGATTTGCTCTCTATTTTTTCCATGTCTGTAGCAAGTTTCACTGTAAAACGAGAAACAACCATATGGTCCTCCTTACAATTAGCTCCAAAAAGCAAAAAATTGTCACTGGGACTAGCTATCCTGGGCCCCACATTCAAAAAACGTATCAGCCATGACATAGATTGATCCCATTTCCCAAAAGGAGCCCCATCACCCCCTATGGCAACCTTAAATGCTCCCTCCCTCTCACTGAACCACACCAGCTTATCCCCAGGTTTCCTGTACTGATCAGTCTCAAAATAGAACTTGACCAGCAGAAGTAAAAAGTTCTCCAGGTTTCTATAGACCCCATCAACCTGCTGATCAGGTGGAAGGTCATGGCATAGGGTTTCCCTTATTGAATAAAATTCCCCCACATCAATTTCTTCAATTTTTTTCATTAACAACCGATAGGGAAGGAGTTTAGGAATGGGATACCCATACCAAACAAAACTCTTTCTTTTGACACAGAACCTAGTTTCTTGGTGGGTTTCTTAGTATTTTTCATAACAAGAGCTGATCTTGTTTGTTCATATTTTACCTTTTCCATTAATCCTCCTGCATAAAGCATAGAAAGTGAACGAATGACATTATGATCACTTTGCTCATACTGCTTAACCTGAGGTTTTATTACTGCTAGACTAGCTTTTCTCATCTTTTTTGATGAAGAAAAGTATTTAGATAGAGCTGCTGTCTTCGCATATTTAGTCAGCGTAGAAAACATGCCATCCAAGGCTGGGGACCTGTCTTCAAAAGATCCACCATTTACCTCTGTTGCTGCAACCAACGTTTCAAGTTGTCTTCTGCTGGCACTTCGCTGCGGCACGTTTAGCTTTCCCTCATCAGTGAGCACAGTTGGACTTTTTTTTTTCTTAGAGTGGATGTGTTAGCTGTCACTTCAAAAACTAACCTTCTTTTAGTCTTGACAGCGGGAAGATCAACTTTTACCTAATCAACATTTTCTTTTATGCGAGTTTTCTGAAAGTCCAAGAACATAAGTTAACCCTTTAAGCCCTATGAATGATCAGCATCAAATTTCTCCTTGTAATATAAATACTTTGTTAAACAGAGTGGTCATGAGAATTGCGGACATGATCACACAAGATGAGTTTTCTTGATATTTTATCAACTTCTTCCCACTTCTTCTGTACGAAATGAATGTAGCGAATTTAACTTAGAGAACATTTACTCTGGAGTAAATTTTAGCGGAGCGATGGAAAAATCGCAAAAATAAGAACCCGCAAAATTTTCGTGCCACACGGTAGACCTCTCCTTTCACTAAAAAAACCTTTTTCAAGCTAAACTTACCTTATTCTTGAGTCGCTGAAGCCTTTTTTTAAGGTACAAATTTCCTTTGATTTCGAAAGGTACTCCGCTCGAAGAGTAGCCCTCTGCTTACTGAGCTCCCCAACAGGAAAATTTGACTTGCATTTCTTCGATGTAGTGCTCTTTCTTCGTGACTTGCTCCCCATGTAAACCGCTCAGCGAACCATATAAACGCAAAAATCTCTAAGAAGCAGAGGCATCCGGTAAAAAACCAAAACGAGGAAAACACAGCCGAGGTTTCAGGTCTTCTGTTTACGATAACATACCTGGTAATAATACGTTTCCCAGCGAGAAAATTTTCGACAAAAATACTCAATTTTTCTTGAAGGACTGAGAACTCAGTGTGCGTGAAACAGAGAGTAAAAGTACAAGGGAAAATTTTGCCGAAGAAAGATGTAAACGCATGCAAATCGCATATCAACAGAAAGCTTAAAGCCTGTAGAAATTTGTTTTTGAGTGGGAAAAACTCCCCTAGTACCCATTCCTCCGCAAATGGCCAAATTCTGACCAGGACTCTTGAGCGAAAATGGCTGCCAAATGACCGCGCTATAGAACTGCTAATTAGGGACTGGAAACTGGGGACACAAAACTTGGCCAAAATTGGCACAAAAATTTCCAAGCGTGAAATTATGATAACAAGCTTCAATCGTATCTGACAAGTGCACAAGCTTATTTTTATAAAGGGAGGCTCTCCAGCAAAGTGTAGTTCGCTGTTTTCCGTTATTTTCTCAATGAGATTCCTTGACGCACACGGATCCGTGCAGAAGAAGAAAATGAAATTGCATGAAACTGCAGGCAATGAAAAAATCAAACAGGAATAGTTTATATTTCCTTTTGATTTCATCGGCATCCTCACTCAAAGAATTTTGAAACTCGATCCCGGTTAATGCAGATAACGGACACTTTCTTGTGTCCCGAGACACAAACTCTTATACATTGTTAACCTCTTCTATACTTGCTACCTTTCTTTAACAAAAGCAACCCCATTTAAAATATATTCCCAGAAGATCCTTTTTCAAATCCAGAGCACTGGCTTCAATTTTACTTCAACCAAGAGGAGATTAAGTACACCTCACTTACCAATATTGGAGCCCGTGTTGAAACCGCCCCCCCCCCTCCCCAGTTACACAATTTACTCCATTTCAAACATCCCACAGGAAGAAGGAATTACCATTAAGTGCAAAGCGTACGAAACATTCTATCGAAACGAACCTCCAATACCTAGCCAATACCTCGCAGATATGCTGAGACTTATCCTAAAGGAGAACTCTTTCCAATTTGTTAGAAAAAAAACTACCTCCAAGTACAAGGTACGGCTGTGGGGGCAAAAATGGCAGTTGCATTTGCTAACATCTTTATGTCTGCAATAGAGACAGAAATTATTAACAAAGTCCGCATTAACCACTAGTGTGGAAGAGATTTGTCGATGACATATTTTCATTGTGGAATATAGACAAAGAAGAAGTATACTCATTACGGCATAGAACTAGCAAATAACCACCACCCGACCGTAAAATTTACTGCTGAAGTTTCAAACACAGAAACTGTTTTTCAGGGTACATGTATATACAAAGGAGAAAGATTTAAGACAGAATCAATCCTAGATGTGCGTACACTCTTCAAACCTACAGAAACTTTCCAATCCACCCATTTCTCTTCATGTCACCCCCTAGGGGTTAAGAAAGGATTCATAAAAGGAGAGGCCTTAAGATTACTTAGAACAAACTCTTCTGAGAAAACGTTCAAAGAGAACATAACTAATTTCAAGCGAAGACTCCGTATGAGAGGTTATAGAGATAAAGTGATAGATAAACACCTATCAGAAGTCAAGCATCACGAAAGAATGTCGGCTTTGCAAAACAAGACAAAAACGCACAAGAAAATACTACCGTTCGTAACAGAATATCGCCCCTCAGGATCTGTTCCCTCGATTCCGTGATGGAGGGTCTTGTGTAAAGTCGACGCACGGCCTAGCTCTATTTCCCTTTCCCTTCCCTACTTAGTGTACTACTGTAGCGAATGGCGTGTTCATTAGAAAACAACGTGAGCATCCCAAGAACGAACTGGTGTTTTCTTGGCATATTAAAGGAAGACAGCTAATAGCATTTCGCTAAACAATATTGGCCTAAAACCCCCTTGACTTGCTGGTTTTATTTTTCCTGCCCTGATATATGCCTATTTAGAACAAGCCACAGGTTTGTTTCAAGTTCACCTTGAAATCTCTCAATTTCTTTCACTCACTGATATATTTTTTCTCAGAATGTCAGAACTACCAAAGCCTTAATGCTGCAGACAGGAAGATAACCTACACAACCTACCACGGGTATTGTGACGGGAGCATCACTAAAGGCTGGTATCGTTTTGAAGGAGCCGCAGGATCCAGAATGCCCACCTCGTGCACACCCGATTGGAGGTGTGGTACTCACGTAACGAGCTGGTTGACAAATGGACATCCTAGTGTGGCTGATGGAAGAGTCAGTAAGCAAGTCTGTTTCAGTTACCTTGGGTATTGCTGTTTTGCTCGAACTAGAAACATCAACGTGAGGAACTGCGGGAATTACTATGTATACGAACTTGTTCCTATTGGTAGTTGCAGTTACCGCTACTGTGGCACTGACTAAACAAGATTATTGTGAAATATCTTATCCCGTGGTGAAACGAACTTGATGAAGAAAGGGAAACTACAGTAGGATTATCTTCATATCAAGTGATTATAAATAATGTCTAAAATAACTCCGCGTACAGTTTGTCCCTGACAAATTTAAAATCACATAACCCTTGCATCAAATAGCAAAGGCTGCTTCTTAACCGCTTATATTGTATTACTATGTACTCTCGATGAATCATAACGTCAAGCCTCCGGAGTTTCCAATCTGATAGAAAAAAATGAGAAACATTTAGATTATTAGATAAACATTTTAGATTATTGCAATCTTCAATCTTTTACTACCAGAGCCAACGAGACAATTCCGAAATGATATATTTATAACTTTCGACCCTGTGAGCGGATTCCCTTGGTGCGTTAATTGTTTCTAAAGTTTTATACTTGTGGTTTACTAATAATTTTCTGGGTAGTCTTAAGACTTGAACTATGTGAAAGCGCTCTTTATGCCGTTTTAAATATAGCTGTGAAAAAAAAAAAAAAAAAAAAAACCCTATGGTAGTGAAGGTACGTATGTAGACAAGTTAAGTACTTTTCACAATTCGTTGATTGCCATTTTAGAATTACAAGAATTAGTACACCAAGAGGCCAATAATTCTTTTTATTGTTGTGCAGACATTTATAACTCATTTAGTTTCATTGAGTATGTAACTTAAAGGGCTTCAAGGTAAACTACTGAGATGCCAGTAATAAACACCAATAAAGTTGTTATCAAATGAGCGAGAGCCGTCCTTAATTAATTAATCGTTTATCTTTATTTGTTTACATTTCTTTTATCAAATTCACCATTTTCATATTGCCAATAACACACGTCGTTTTCCTGGTTTGCCCTCGTTTTCCAAGTTTTCCTGAGTATTACAATCAAGGCGAATGTGTGTGGCATAACATGACATCGCAGGAACTAAGAGAGGAGGACACGTACGTCAGACACTGTTCTCTCTTGAAAAAAACCGCAGCGTTCAGGGGCCAACAAAGTAATTCGGTGTGCCCATGTTATCAAATGTACATGTAAGTAGCCTTGTGTCTCTTTTTCATGAAATTTTCGGTGTGAGCGTTTAGTGACTGATTAGTCAAATCATTTTACACATCACAATCGGTTAACATGCACATTACAGAAGAAAATGTGGAGACAAAAAATCAAGAATGAAGCAGAATTTGTGAAACGTGCGAGACCTTTAAACCGGTAATTCGATGTAGTGCAGATGGCTTTGATGTCATTAGGGATGTGACCTTCTTTCCGAGAAGCTCAGAGTACTGAAATCGTAAAAACCACAAAAAAAAAAAAAAAAAAAAAAAAAAAAAAGTGTATTGGGGTTTTATTGGGAAGTCCGATACTTCAAGTAAAAGAACTTATTGAAATTGTCGTTAAAAAATAATAATAATAATAGTAATACTAAATAAATAAAAACTACGGAACCGAGCGTACTGAGAAAGATTGAATCAAATCACGCAAACCTTGTTACGCACTCAGGAGTCTAAACTGGCCATTTTCTCCCAGGAAATAGCAAAGCTTTAGTTTTTCATTCCAACCAAGCTATTACCACCACTCTAGGATCTTGAAGAATATCTGGTCGCTTAGACAGATTTTTATCAGAAAGAAAACGACCAAGAGCGTACTGTAATTAAACCATGAGATGAAAGCACTGGGTAAGGGATAGAGTGAGGAGTGAATGGGAGGTATAGCTGGGTACTCTAAAATGACCTTTATTGGTGACGGAACTTCGACAACTGGAACTTGCTAATCACGCCTTCAGCGTTGTTTGGATTGTGGACATCCTTTCCAGGATTTTTGTTAGGTATCACTTTCGACAGGGATGAATTCGAAGGACTTGTGGTATTTCCTACCATTTTCATTCAACTTAAAACTACTTTTGGAGCAACAAACTTACTTTAGTAGCCTACTACTTCCTTGTTGGTCTAAATCTGACATAAAACAAAATATCACACGCCACTTAAAAGTTTAAAAGCTTTGGGAAGCTTAATTCGTTAAAAGGATTGAACGCTATAATCTTCTTCTAGCTTTTAACGCTTACACAAAGAGAAACAAAAGGAAAAAACTGACGAGTGCATTATGGGTGGCAATACATTTCTTAAACAATCACTTTGTATAGCTATGGACTGGCAGCGATGGAACTTATTTTTACTTCTTCTTGATGGAGCAAAATTTTCTGTGCTCATTTTGAGAAAAGGGATTAAACTAGCCTGCGAACAGCAGACGCATTTCCGGTCGTCGCTTCTCTCCCTCCGAAAAATAGCGTCTGCGAACCCAAGCAGCAAAACGATTTCCGTGACGTAAAACCTTTTGTTTTGATGTTGGCCTATCAGATCAAAGGATAGAATACAGCTCGAGTGACTCCTCGCGACCTCGCGCGCTGTAGTGTCTTGGATTTCGGCGAGAGTTACCACAGGCGGCCCAAACTCACGTTGCGAGGGAAGGGTGTAATGTAATTTACATACAATAGGTGACGCGCCGGTGTCGCGTTACAGGCGACCGTTGAAAATATAAGAGACTTTGAATGAGAAATATATTACTAAGATCTGCGCACGCTAAATAACGCTAAACCTTACTTTTTCTTAAATGAATTACTTACCTGCAATGTATTCCAATGCGTTTTGGTGTCTGTTTGTCGTTTTACTGTTTTTTTGGCTTTATTGCGTAACCACTGTTACTCCTTTCAACGGTCGCCTGTAACGCGACACCGGCGCGTCACCTATGGTATGTAAATTACATTACACCCTTCCCTCGCAACGTGAGTTTGGGCCGCCTGTGGAGTTACCAAATACGCTTTGGAACGTGAATTTCACGACCATAACAAGGTTTCCTGCGACGTTAAATGCTGACGTCTTTATGAAGCAACTGCTTCTTAGGCTCTCTTTTGTGATGTGGGCCTTTGGTTTCGCTTTGTAAAATACGGTAGTACGTGACATAAACAAAACCTGGCCAAAACAATCACAACAGCGAAAGGAAAGTAACATAGCTTAAAAACATCGCACTCAGACTTATTTATTTCAATTAAACCAGCACTGACAAAAGGTGGCGAATCAATTATACAGACACATCTTGAATGATTCAGAAATCTCCGACAATCGCTCGTCAGTAATATCACCACAACACAATGATCTAAAATATTATAAACCTGGGACAGACCCAGCGTGAAATAAATAGTTACAGCAGTAAATTGATTATAGCCAAGATGACATTTCAGCTACGACCCTTCGACTCATTTTATACAAAAACTATGGAAATTAAAACCTTGAATTTGAAAAGAACATGTATTTAAAGAAATATAAGAACAAATATAGAATGCTTTCGATCTGATCAAAGTTCTGTCTGAACCAAGAAGCAACCACGCATGGAAAATCAATTACCTGTACACATACTAGCTTTCAAAGATAAAGGATATCTACTAGAAAATATCTAGAGCGGCACACGACAAACTATCGGAGAGTTCTCCATATAACTTGTATTTTTGGCCAAATTTGTTTTGTAATTTACATAACTTAACACAAAGTAATTATATTTTACGATAGCTGGTACTGTTTGTAAAATATTTTTGTCCTTTTCTCAAGGCTTCAATGTGAGTGTCTCCTTCCTCAAGAAGTTTTTTTTCTGTATGTGGGTGAAAGTCCGTGTAATATTATGAATCTCGCGTAAATAAATCAGAAAGATTCTTTTTGTTAAGTTGTTGTTGTAGCTGCTGCTGTTGCTGTTCTACAGAGATGAAGCACTGTTTACTAGATTGCTCCATTTAACTTAAGTCACGGTCCCTGATTATAATTTTTGGTGTTTATACCGTAATGAATGAGTTATAAATTTCCTTTGTTGTTGTTGTTGTTGTTGTTTTTTTTTTTTCAGCGTCCTTTAACTCATTCATCTTTTTTCTTTCCCTATTTAAAGCGTTTTGCGACTCCTCCAATCGTACCTTTGTTTCCTGAGAGACCTCTAGACGCCATGGCAGTGTGGGTGGAGGAGTTGACCGAAGACAGTTTTAAAATCTGTCTTAGGGAAGTGAAAATTTTCGACGGACTTCACAAAGGCATTACTATTGTAAGCAGAGATAAAATACTTTTTTAAAGACCTGTATCCAATTGCATCGACTTTTCTTAGCTACACATATATTGTATTGTATACAAAATTTACCAGAATACTTACAAAATATATAGTCGAACTAACCATCCTTTTTTAGTTTCGAAATATCATTCTACGATGAGTTCGAATTTGGTAACGGTTCACAATAAAGAAGAAAATGTCTACATTCAACACGGTCACAACGGAGAGAGATCTTGGATTGGACTTAACGACCGAAGTGTGGAGGGCTCCTTTGTGTGGACAAACAAATAAGCAAATTTAGGTTCTGGGCTCCACAGCAACCGAACGACTGGAAAAACGAAGACTGTGTTCACACTCTTGGCGCCAGGCATGGTTACACTTGGAATGATGTGCCATGTACCAACTGTTACAACTACACTTGTTTTAAAGGTACTAAGCGTAGCACTATGAAGATTTATAACCGTATATATCTTAATCTTCACGTTCCAGATAGTGAATCTACTGAGTTAAAACTACATTCAAAAAGGTCGAAACACAATAACAGCATGTTAGGCAGATGGTTGGACAGATTGCATGGAAAGGAAGAGAGGGTAGCACTGATCAGTTTCATTGTTACAAACATAGGGAAACAAGTCGTATACATTTCCATTAAAAAAATGTCCATTGACCCAAAAATGGCCGCAAAAGCCTGAAATAGGCGTAATCAAAAGAAGAACGAGAAAGCGTTCATACGTTGAAGCCACGGGAATGGTCGCGCTAACTTCCGCTTACTTTTTAACCCGGTTTTCTAAGCACGTCTTTGCAAATTATTAACGAACATAAGCACATACGTTAACCATTAACTGAAAAAAGTCATATTGTTTGACAAGAACCTTCTGTGTGGTTACGTTTTAGACTTGGATGAATGTAACACTGGTTCTCATTTCTGTGACGTCAATTCCGTTTGCCAGAACACCGTGGGTTCATACAAATGCTCGTGTAATGCTGGGTACACAGGAGATGGAAAACCTTGCAATGGCATTTGAGATACAGTTGATCCTCCATGTGCGACCATCTCTCCTAAGCGACCCATCAGTCGACATATCGTAACTTTGAAATTGCACACATTAAGTTGTTTTTCAAAGACACGACCTGTTAATGTTCGATTTTTGTAAACGACACCTTCCCGTAAGCGACTCTAATCTGAAGGTTCAAAACTGACAGGGTGACAAGCCTTTAATCTATCGTAAGACCTGGGACTCCTTTCTCTCTTGTCTTCTTTTTTGTTTCATTGTCCTATTTGATTTTTAAGTGCGTTGAATCAACCCCTTATGAGTTTCTGTTGTAATCTAATGTTTTTTTCTTAGTTTATATGTAAAAAAGGCAAAAATATCGATTACCTATTGTACCTAAGCAGGATTAACGCATAGAGAAAATGAGAGTAAATGATCGTATTGATCAAGAGTTTGCTGCGTCACTATTAACAAGAAGCGTTCCTCGCCTTTTTCTCCAGATATCGACGAGTGCTCTACCAACTCTCACAGCTGCGACGTTAATGCGGTGTGTAGTAATACTGTTGGATCTTACGCATGCGCATGTAAAGCAGGATTCATAGGAGATGGATTCACATGCACTGGTGAGCCGTTTGAGTACAATTTTGTTGGTTTGATATGTTTGTTTTTTGAGTGAACAGCAACGGGAGCAATACAAGAGTCTTTAGTGCTGTTCTCGACTTTTACAGTTAAAGGTTTGGTTAGACTGGAATTTAAATTAATTTTAATATTGAATGTATGTAGTAAACAAATAGAAAAAAGGAGCTAAGCAGCCAGTTTATATGATAAGTGCAACGATGGTGATTAAAACCTGTGATCATTTATTTAGGCCTAAAAGTCAATTGGTTCGATACCCTAACTGTGAAACAATAGGAAATAATGATAAACAATGATGTGTTATTGTTTCTGCGACCAACGAGGGAACACCTTACGAGCAGCTCTTACATTACTGTTTTTTTTTTGTTTTTTTTTTTTCACCACGCTTAAAGTAACTCATTCCGTTTTTCTCGTTCTGTTTTCTCTTAGCAATGAAAACCGTTTTTATTATACATTTTGGCATTCTTCGTTTTGTAGATATTGACGAGTGCGCCAGCGGTACTCACAACTGCCACAGTTCACTTGCTTCTTGTACAAACACGATGGGATCTTTTAGCTGTTCATGTAACAATCCTTCCAGCGGAGATGGCAGAACTTGCAATCTACCATCAGGTAATCAACTCGCCCAATATTAGGAAGATGTCCACTTACTAGACCTCTAGTATGCCGGCTAAGGGATCGTCATTACTTCCCATAGCTAATACTCATTTCGTACCTACGTGACTAAACCAGCCTTCAACAAATGTTTGAGCCTCTCACTCTATCTGGATTTTGTCCTGCAACCTCTTATGTTAAGGAATATTTAAAGGGTCTATGTCACCTCACACGCATGCGCGAGCCAATGAAAACAAACTTGAAAAAGTCGGCCCGTCTTTTTCAAGTTCTGTCGGAGATTTTGGAAGGCTGTTTTTATCTGTCTAAATCTCAGCCATCGTTCGATAGTTAGCGAAGTTTTGTATTAAGAATCGTTCTATGGTGACTACAGAATAATTTTTTGGCGTTATTTTGAAATTGTTTGCCTGTGAATGTTTTTACGTGGATTTGCTGTGTCATCTTATCAGCGGCCGTTGTAATGGCAGAGTTAATGACTGCTACTCCACAATGAGTGATGGAATCTTTGATGGAATCTTCCCTATAGTTCACAGAACCTTTCTATTGAGTTATTTTAGAGGCTGCTGGCTCTTGGATTTTTCTTGTGCTCAAAGTATGTGGACATATAATGAAGCGGCTATCAAGTTGGCGGCGGCCGTTTTTGGTAAACGATTACAAGGGCATCAGGCCATGAGTTTCGTGACCAAACTAAACTCCTGGCGAAGGAAACATTATACAATTTGGCTAGATTCCTCCTTGTATTTATCTGGATTCAGGGCAAAGATAAACACGACCGTTTGCTCGTCCAGATTGTTCTCAACGGACTTAGAGAGGCACCTTAGTACGACTTAGATCCTGTAAATGCCATGTTTTTGAACCGTTTGTGTTGGAGCATATTTTTGGAAAATAGCAGAGTTTACTTTCCCTTTTTATCAACGGACTGCTTATAGTGGAGTAGTATACCAATGATGCTTGGTTCTGTTTTTCTTGACGTCGCAGTGATTCGGTACGATCGAACAATTTTTGGCGATAATGTATGTTTCCCTATGATCAAAACAAAAACTTGATGTCTCTTGTTCTATCAGCATCTAAATTATAAAATCACTAGCGACAGACAAGTCTAATTGTTAATGATTTGAAACAGTCTTGGTCTTTATCTTCGGTCTAGCGTCTTTTGTAGCTCGTTTGTAAAATACAACTTCGATTTATTTTGTTGAATAAGACAATATGTTGTTGTTGAATTTTTGTTTGCCCACTATTTTATGAATGGCATGCGTTTTTACTCCAAAACTACAAGTAAAATTGTCGTAACAATTTTATTCTTGATCTAGCATAACCATAGAAGAAACGTTCCGTAAATTCTATCGAAATATCCCTTATCTAAACCCATTTCGCTTGTTAACCTCTCTAAATTCGGAGCCTTCGACGTGACAGAGAACATAGAGAAAGTCACGCGTTAAAAACAATAGAATTTTGACAGTTGAAAGTAATTTGCATAACCTCAGAGCGCATGCTCTCCAGCTGACATAGCCCCTTTAAAGACACCGGTCTAGCGATTAACGGACTATGATGCTTATGGACATCACTTCTTTTGACTGCTGGAGCTTTAAGATAATGGTAGTTTCTTGGTGTTGGGCGGAGAAGAAAACTTAGTAAACATTTCCAAAGACACAAAACAAAAGCGAACTAACATTACTTAATGTCTGCAACACCAAGAAACAATGCGCCAAGATAACATATACTAATATATAGATTTAGCCAGGGCTAAAAGCGAAGCTCCCGTTAATAAATTCATAATTTAAATCAAACAATAAACTTGCAATCCACAGATCCGGGCACATTCATGTGACTTTTGAGGCAAAGGCTAGGTGATTTTAAAGAAAAATAATTTGACAGTCCAGGAGTGAAACAAACTTTACATTGAGTTAGTAGTCTTATTTGTACACCCAAAAATAGCAATCATGTTCGATCACAGTAGATTAGGCCTGGAAAGTGTATTGTATTTGCATTAACTGTTGCATCATAATGTGGCATTCACCAGTCTCTCCAACATTGCCCCGTTTGAGAGACTAATAATTGGACAACCCCGAAATATAATACTATGAAAGAACGGTGAAGCAGACTATTTTTCCCGAAACTTCGTGTACACATTAAGGACAACAACAACTTGCCACATGATAATTTTCAAAGATTTTTATTTCCATTTTCTAGCAAATTTCCAGACCTAAACTTCGCCCTATATGTTCTCTATCATTAACCATGTTATGAAATCCGAACGTGGCACTAACAGTGAGCCTGGGTTACCTGTGATCAAAGCACGCCCTTCCTTTGCACAACAAATTATAGAATTGAGCACATTATAAAACGCTTTCATGAAGAGAATTCCATAATGCCGGGACTTTTTAGTTAGAAAAATCTGTTTCTATGTGATATGCAGTTTAATAATTATGGGCTTTTAGTGAAAACGATGAAAAAAATTCCCAAAATCACCTTTTCGGCCAGCCGGACGAGTTCTCACTTTTGACAGGCACAAAACTTGCAGTGCGATTAAAAGAGTTACCATTTACGCTTCAACATAATAGAGATTTTGTTATGTTTAGGTTTTATTTCCCTGTATTTGTAAAACTGTTAATGGTCTTGTTATGTGTAATCTTTAAAAGCTAGTGATTATTTACGCGCGCGTTTTGAGTATTCCTGCATGCGATGTTTATGTTCGACTCGAAACAACCGGTGCAGTGATAAAAATTGCGAGAGGGACTACTAACAATCAATAAAATAAATATAATTCGGTGAAACATGTACAGAGACAATAATTTTCATTCACGAAGACAAGTATTGAGAGTAAAGTGTCTCTGAAAATCATGAGTCAGGTAAGTATATAAAGCTTATTTATGTTTTAAGCCGGCTTCCCGGTGTTTGCTCTTTTTCAAGATGAACCGAGGCAAGAAAATCGCTCAGAGCTTTCTGTTTACAGCCAAAATCATAACTAAATATTCTTCGGAACTTTTTCTTTGAATTTGCGGTCAAAAGACGTCTAAAGGATTTTTAAACCTGATACTAGTGTAGGTTAGATCATTGCTCGTGTACAAACTTAAGCCGCATAAACAATACGCTCGACTTTAGGAAACCGAAAAAAAAAAACACACACATCAAAGACAATAATTGCTTAGGCTTACCAGTCGAGATGCTGCTTCTGAAGGTCATCAAGTTTTCCAAAATTGCTTGAGACTTTTCAACCCTCTTACGCCTCAAGCAAAGGGCAAGTGCGTAGGTTCATTTTTGAAAACGATGCCATCCGAAATCGGATTTCCAATGACTTTGACAAGCGGTGCATTTGTCAACAAAAAGCGCAATAAACAAGCCAGCCATGAATTACAGAACAATCTTGATAGCAGCTGTATTTCATTTTGTACAGCAAGTGGAAAAAGACAATTAAAAACATCACAAGTTGACACAAAACTCTGTCAGCTTCAGCTGTCAAAGTAAACAAGTTTCCAGACACTGCATAAATTTTCCGCATGAACTCACCTGTCAAATTTTGACCAATCAGAACATAAAAATTGGACGTAGAGCGTGATCAACGCGTGACAGTGAGAAAAGTCAAAAACGATTGCCTTCCCTGCATGTAAAAGCCGGTTGAATTTTCGCGTCCGAGGTCAGTTCGAAATCAAAATTTTAAAAGTGCGGCTCATGAACACGACTTACTTTATATGCATTTTAAAAAAATTGAACTTGAGCCTGCGATCATTTGAAAAGTAGCAACTTGTCAGCGGATTACTTCAAAAAACAATCGAACTCAGTGGGTCGATACCTGAGCCCTTGATACGGTCAGGCGATACTGGTCAGCAGAAACACTATTTTGACAGCTGTCAATTAATCAAAACATGGATGTACAATATCAGGTTGCAGGCTCCCAAAGCAGCTAGAAAGTGTGAGATTAAAGATTGATATGCCTGTGGTGCGGACCGACGGAAGGTCGGGTGGTCGATTTAGGTCACGTGATTGCCGAATTTTCTAGGATGGATAGATTTTCTAAGCTATGGGTGACCTCAATGGATAGAAAAATGAGCCTGCGATACAGTCAGGTGATGATGGTCAGCGTATACTCTAGTTTGACAGCTATCAATTAATCTTCATTAGAATGGCGAATATTCGAATTAACAGACTACGACTGTGAGTAAGACATAGCCGTCCGGCTTGTAGTGGAAAATGACAGATCGTGTACCTGAGCGAACCTGAGCCCAAGTTATTAGTTTTCTGATAGTGGTCTGCACATATCGCATTTTGACAGCTGTCAATTGACCTTAATTTGGCTTGCCAATATAACTTTAAACGACTGACAGCCCAGCGCCCGGGGTAGTTTCGTTTTTATGTTGAATTGGTAAGTGTGACATATTATATCAGCTTATATGTAGGGGCAAAACGACTGGTCTTTGATCTGAGCCCGCGAGATGGTCATATGATAATTGTCAGCGGATGTCTGTTTTTGACAGCTGTCAATCTAATCGTACTCATACGGATGGCTTACAAAACTGAAAGGCTAGTCAAGTTGTGCGAGATCTATTGTGACATTTGACATCGGCTTACATGAAGTGTGTGTACGGGTGGGCGTACGCTACGTCATAACCAAATTTTCTCGGATGGATAGTTTACCAAATTTTGTTACCCATGGTGCTCCGCTGCGCGCGCTTCGCGCGCGGGAGCTCCGCTACTAGAGAGTTCAGTATACTCCATAGAAAAGTGTAAGAAAACTATTTTTAGTCCCGACCTGAGCAAGTAAGAAGAACTGAAACGTTGCGACAAGGACCCCATTAGCTGCCATAAACTGATCAGATGGACTCATGATCAGTGGCCTACTTAAAAGCTTGAGCATCATCAAAGGGTTCTTGGTCCAATTTTTTACAAGAGATAAAGAAGCTTCACCATAAGAAACATGAAAATGGGGCGTTGTAAATCCGTTGCATAAGGCGAATAGTACTGGTGTGCTACATACTTGAAAGGTTTAACTAGCAAAAATCACTTTGTCATTAGACCCTTGTCTAAAAACATACGTTTTTTGGGACTCCGAAGTTCTATTATCTAGTCTCAGCTCAAACGGTTAAAAATTGAAAAACTAGATTGAAAATGTTTACTTTTTGATGACAGCCGACCCGGCGTGTTTTACAATAGAGAGCCACCACAGGAACGAGAACGTCATAACAATCATAGATTTAGATTAGCGACTTTGCCAGTTTATCATGCTTTTGAACCTCCTTCAAAACTTATTAGTATTCAGAAGGGATATCGTCCAATGGACTTTATGAGCTCAGTCTCTTGGGGCGGGGCTTTTAATTGGGTTTGAGGAAAAATAGGAGTTAAAATGACTGAAACAGTTATTGTAAATACTAATAAACATAAAATGTTATGTACTACCCCCGGTCATCCTAATTTGCAACAAGATTAAAAATTATTTGCGAAAACTTATTCACAAAAATGCAGAAGTTTGAGAAATCACCAGACTAATCCAATTTCACGACTGCTTATTCATAGTTGGTGAAGTGAGACGCAAACAATTCTTACATGTACCAGTACTGAACGATTTGCAATTCCGCAAAACGTAATTTATATCAAATTCCCATTATGTCGCGTCGCATCGCAGTTAGATGTAGTGACACTCTCTTCGAACGTTTTTCCCTCTTGTACGATTCAGAATAACTGTAGAAAATTCGTTTATTTGGATAGCCATTTTGCCAAGGCAGGTAGAAGCTTAGGGCCTGTTTACATGGAGGTGGGGGTCAACAGGTGGGTGAAGTGACCCGCTTAGGTAGGGTAACCCGCCTGTCCATACAATCTCTCATATGGTCATTCCACCTATCATGTAAACTTGATCAAATTAAAATGAGAGATTATATGGACAGGCGATTTACCCACCTTCATGTGAACAGGTCTCTAAACTGTGGAACTTGAGGTTGTACAATGTATTTGCATAATTATATCTGACCAACCTTTGATGTCTTGGTTGCTTTTTTGTTCCGATTTTATTGTTATTTTTTAAAATTAAAAGGCGAAAACCGTTATTTGGCAATCATATTGCAATGAAATATTAAGTAATAGCAATAGTTTATCAACCGACCCCATAAAATGGCTTTTCAGCCAACTTCACAATTACAATTTGATAAAGCAAAATTATCTGCTTTACAATATGTGAAATTTGTTAGGGAAAAAAAACTTGAACAGAAATTTTTTTGGTGTTGAACGCCCATTGAAACTAAATGACATCGACGAGCAAAATTAATATCTGGCGCTATAATTGAATACTGCAGAGAAATATGGCTTCTATGGCGGCCAGCGGAACAAACGAGAGCGAACGCGCAAGCAAGCGGCAAAGCAGCCTTTCTATCTCGCCTCAGCCTTCGAAAGCAGTCGTTTCTGCTCGCTCCTCGCCGCTAGGGACAAGCGTTGTAAAACATTTTAACCGCAGAGTTATTCAATGCTTCCCAGCTTCTTTAAGTTTTGATCATTTTAACTACTGTCTATTTTAATTTCAGAATGTCAAAATTACGGGAGTCTGAACAATGCTGACAGGAAGATAACTTATGGGAGGCCCAACAATTATTGTGATAGCGGTATCGGCCCTGGATGGTTTCGTTTTGAAGGGTCCGCCGGCACAAGAATGCCAACTTCATATCCACCTACCTACAGGTGTAACACTGATGCAACCGGCTGGTTGAATGGTGGACACCCCACTGTAGCAGACGGTCAGGTCAGCAGGACGGTGTGTTTTCACTGGAGTGGTAACTGCTGTTATTGGTCAACAAACATCAAAGTGAGAAATTGTGGTTCATATTATGTGTACTATCTTAGTGATACACCTTATGGTTGTTATCTCCTTTGTTGTGGTACTAACTAAAAACAAGGTGCAAGTAAAGTATTACATATTCTATCATTTCACTTAAGGAGGCTTCATTGTATTAAAGAAAGAAACAAAAAAATAAAATAAAATAATAAAAAAATAAAAAAAGGGCACTTAACTTCAATATCTGAATTTGTATAACTTAATTAAGCGAAGGGCCGGGAAAAAAAAATATAGCACTTAAGTATAGCACAACTTACTAATCTTAATGTGAGGATAGATTTTCTTTTAAGCTGTTTTGAAGACCAACTAAGAAAGAAACTGGTAATAGAACTTACAAGGAAGTCAAAATGATACATTAAATTAGCAATGCAGTTTTCTGTGCAACTTGTCACGGTGATCAGAAGTATACACTGAAGCACATGAACGCCATGCAGTTGCTAAATAATCTACGATAGACAGACGTTTTAACTTAGAAGATGTGCCGGGAAGGGAGGGGTATTAATCTGCCTACCTTTTTCAATATTGATCTGTATAGGGATGCACTCTGTAAAATCGCAAACGAAATGCATTAAGACTACAGGTACAGTCAACTCTCTTCTTGCGGTTCATATTATGTGCTAACTACCTTAGAGGTACATCTAATTGTGATCTCCACTATTGTGGAAGTAATTGAACACAACAAGTATTGGCATATCTCCTTTTAGCATATACGCACTCAGTGATCTTGGGGATTCAAGCGACCTGATTGGTTCCCTATCGCGGACTATGACGTTATATTCACCGCGCTAGGCGGTGAATATAAAGCAAAACAAAATCGCTGTCGTAAACTGGGTGTTTTGCCAAAGTTCAGAGTAAGACGGAACTTTTTAAAAATACAAGTAGATCCTAGTCTTGATGATTTTGAATGTTAAAGAAAAGACTTCATGGTGTATAAACAGCGCGATTTATTGTGAAGTGATTCATTGTAGCTGACTTTTTATACGCTCGAACGGCAAAATTTACCACTACAGAGGAAAACGAAGCCGTCTTCTGACTATTTTGTGAACTTGTGATTTCCTCGCAAGACTATTTTTGCCTATAAATAGAAGCTAATTTATGGAGAACATTGTACGTACCAACAAGTTAAGAATTAAGGCAAAGAACACTGCAGATATTGAACAACGCTCACTTTGATCGAAGCCGCTATTGACATCGTATGCAAGAAGCGACAAAAAAACGTTCTCATTTATTGGGACAGAAGCAAATAAAGCTCTAGTTTTCTTCTCAGAAGGGGTAGTAATTTAAAATTTCGACGTTTTTTTTTTTTTTTTTAAACCATGGATGTTGAAGGTTAAAGCTTACAAAAAGATTAAAAACTAGATTTGCCATGTTTGAAAATACTGTAAATATCTAACTTTTGCGCGTCTCATGTTTACGGCTACATGTCCACGCAAGAATTCATCTTGACTTTCTCAAAGCCCGTTTCTGGTTTCTGCTGTTTAGGTGGTCAGTTGGGAAACGAACTTTCCTCGCCTGCAGTACGCTATTTTTGACCGGTCAGTTTATTTTTTCTGGCCGGGGGTGTGTTGTTAGGGATGCATCCAATCAGAAAACGCTCTATCTTGTGACGTCAGTTCTCGGGAAACTTCATTTCAGGCGAATCCTTCGCTTGGCACGCACTCGTAGCTTTGAAGTGAAGAGAGCGTAGGAAATGAACTGAACGTATACAAAGCGATTAACGGTACGTTATATTAGTGGTCGAGATTTCTGGATGGTTGCGTCGACAGGCTCAGAGAAAAGCCTATCATTTCACATCGCGCCGTTTGAGAACACACAATAGCAGAAGCGTCCGATCAGGCCATAGTAATGTTTGGGTGGACTATTTTTTATTGATTTCACTAAAGGAATATAGGTTGAGCAGTGATGCTACTTGCGAGTTTTTAGATCACTTGGTGTGTATATAAGCAATTATTCACCTCAGCCTCAGTTAATATTATTGAATTTAATCAATTGACCCATAGAGTTTTTAAATATTTTATTAAATATCCATCTCAAAATACCTTAAACTTCAATTCAGTATCTAGTACATATTAGCAAAGTGTTGTGAAGTATTTTGAAAGTTATTTTTAAGACGGATCTATCTTAACTTTTGAGTTTAGTTTCATTAAGTCTTGTTTTTGTCCACGTACTGTTTTCCTGTTTTGATCTTTTGTTTTTATTTGTACTTGAAGTTATGCTTAGCTCGCGAATTTACTTATTGCCATATTAGGAATGTTACAGGTGGTCGTGTTTGTGGTGTTAGAGCTGACCACCGTTATTTGGTACTTATCAGTTGCGGCTGTGCGTAGGCTAGTCTATTCCCTGACAATAGCCAACCTGTTGCAATGTTAGCGATAAGATTATACAATGGAAACTCTTCCGGTCAGCTAACCCAAACATGTCCAGCTTTGGCTATTAAAACCGCTATTATACTTGAACTAGTTAATAGAGAAGAGTAGGAAAAGTAGAGTAGAAGTAGAGTAAGCAGAAGTTGTAAGAAGAATAAGAAGAATAAAGGCCAAGATGTAAATCAGATTCCTGGTACCTCATCGTGTAGCGAGCGAGTTGCTCGAACACACCCCCACAAAAGGCAGAAAAAAGACTGCATGGTTAATAAAGGCAATCAAGTCACGTATCGGCAAGTAGTGTAGTTTGCTGATAATAAACTATAATACTATTGATAATAAGTTAAACGAGGACACTAAGAACAGTATGAACATTGATCTTTTTAAACATCGTGCCCGTAGGGAACTTTGGGCGTCTATACTTTGACTTATGTAATATGTTTTTTTTTTTTTTTATATTAAGAGTGTTGTAATTGGGTCTTCTTCTGATGGTTGTAAATTAACTTTCAAAATCCCAATTTGGGATACCGTAAAATTCCGAAAATAAGCCCCTCCATGTATAAACCCCTCCAAATATAAGCCCCCCAAACTCGTAACGCAAAAAACCCTACGTTAAATCCTCCCCCCAAATATAAGCCCCTCGGAGGCTTGTACTTGGAAAATTGCCCTCAAATACAAGTAAAACAAAGCAAAAGCAGTAAATTTCCTTCCAACTATGGGCTAGCCCAATCGATTTTGAAACGCAAATTTCCCTCCTTGGATAAGCCCCTCCGTAAATAAAAGCCTTAAGTATTTCAGGCTTGTGGTCCTTGTGCTATGTCCTGGATTCGAAGCCCTGACCTCGCTGCGATAACAGTTCAGCGCTCTGCTAATTGCAATTGAGCCAACAATCCAACTAGGAGCAGGTATTTGAGTTGGTTCATTTGAAGGACGATTAGTTTCACAGCCAACTCTCAGTACTACTCCTTAGTTACCATGTGAAGTACATTTAGCCGATTTTTGGAAAACGAGCCTAACGAGACTTGCTGCTATTTGAGTGATTTACCACTCTCAAGTCGACTGGAAATTTTTCCCTATCTCCCTCCCTCTCATAACAGTAGAGACCTTACGATCCGACAACGGTGACGCCAATGAAAACGTCGCTGAAAGATTGACTTCGCGTCCTTTAAAACCACTTCGCGATTACCCCAAGTCACCCAGTCACTTGAAAAAATAATAATAAGATTTGGTCATTTCACGTGGTAGTCGTGCAGGGACGGCAAAGGAATGTACAAAAAAGCGTGATGCACGTGCAGAGTTGTTTTTTTGCTAACTAAAACTATTGCTTTTTGACGTTGCCGTTGCTGTCGACGTCGTAGTTTTTTAAGTTCCCCATTGCTAAACTGTGACAGTTTTAGAAGATTTTCCATTTGTATTCCTTCTGGAAATTAGAATTGCCGACCGATGCATCAGCCGACATCTCGGCCGACTGTCGGTTGACATATCGGTCGCTATATCGGTGGAGAGTACGTTGGTCGAGTCTCGGAGGATCGAGTCTCGAACGAGAGTTGGTTGCTACACTCCATCAGTTGACAGTCGGCCGATGGTTGGTCGTTTAACTATTCGCCGACGGATCACCGACACGGATCTACCTCGGTCGACTGTCGTTCGACACGGCCGTCGATATATCGACCGATATCGACTTAAACCCTTGACCGACTCACCACCAACACTCGACCAATGTAGCTACCCATATGTGACCGACAGTCGACTGAGATATCAGCCGATAGATCGGTAGACAACCCCTATAAGACATATGATCCCCAGGGCTTGATATCCGTTTTTTCCAAATCGATGAGGTCACTGTAGTTGTTAAGTAAAGGCGGTGCAATGAATTTGCACTTAATTCGCCTTCACAACGTGTTACGGGCATAGTACATATCATTCTTGGCCTAACGCTAATGTTCAGATATGAGGATGTATCATATCAATTGCTGAAGCGGAGGAAGCTGGTCTTTTTTCGGGAAAATTAAAGTTAAGACGTGGATTTTTGAAGTAACAAGCAATTTTACTACACAGGATTACCCGTCTGCTAAGTGTGGTTATAACATTTAGACCGTTTCTTGATCTGAAGCATCAATCTTTAGACTGTAGCCTGTACCAGAATCATATACTCATATATTTAACCCTGAAGAACCCTGAAGCGTCCAAATTCCTTTCATTTGTTTAGAAACATGCTGGGGTTGTTTAGCCGTCCAATCAGAAGTTGACGAATTTTTTTTTTTTTTTTTGCCCTAAATATGGAATCAGAGAATTGAAGGCATCCCTGCCTGAAAAGTAGCTGATAAAGAATTTTTGAAGTCCATAAACAGTTCTCTTAGTACATTCATAACTCAATAGTTACACACTCCGCCGTTTAACTTTTTTTACAGAACAATATCAACGGACAAAAACATTTACATTTACAGGTAACGGAGCCGACAAGTATGTTGTCATTTGTGCGCGCTAAGCTGCACAATGGCATGCACTAATAACTTTTTTTTCCGAAAACTTTCCGTAAAATATCGATAAGTAGTTTTCCGTCTTAAAGACCTTTGCAAAAAATACACTATATATGTTATTCAAAGCAACCTTTGAAAACTATCGGGTGAAAAAATAAGGTCGCGTAATGTTGATACAATCAGTACTCTTTTGGAAACGCGCGCAAGCTTTCGTCACCAAGTGCGTGGCCCGTAGATGCTTATCATTATTAGTCGTCTTTGTCTTCTCTGGTTACCCTGGCCATTTTGAATTCCGATTTTCGTCAAATTTTACTTCATAAAACTGTTATTGCCCTTTGTAGCGCTTTGTTTACATCTTGAGACAAAGTTTTCATAACATAAGAAGCGCGACAGTCTCCCGTATGATTGATTCCATATTAGTTACGAAGTAAATTGTGATTGGTTCTCAGAAAAAAAAAAGAAGAAAAAAAAAAGAAAACGCATTGGAATAGCGTTGTACGCTTAAGGGTTATTTCTAATGATGCTTCTTCTTGTGTCTTCCCGAAGATCGACAAGCACGCCTGAATAACACGCGGTTTATATTTCATACGCGCTCGACGATCTCTGAAGTCTGTGAACAGTCTAGTTTCGCTGTAGCGATAATTTTTTTCCTTACTTTGACCACCTCATGCTGTCATTCAAGACTGCGGAATGACTTCAGAGCTTTAATAAGCATGCACCATCTCCTCACGTTAACAGACAAAGGAGGTCGGGACCACACATTCTCTCTTGAAAAACCCAAGGGCCTGAAAACAATTCGTTGTGCGAATGTTATCAAATGTACCGGCCTGGTGTGCTTTAGTGAAGAGACTTTTGGTGTCAGCGTTCATAAAAAAGTGATTAGTCAATTAACTGACCTTACTAGACATATCACAATCGGTAGAAAAGTACACTGCATAAGAAAATGTGAGGATAAAAAATCGAGACTGAAGCGAAGGTAATGAAACGTGCGAAACCTCAGGTGATTAGGGCAGTGCGGGTAGGTTTCATGTCATTATGCATGGATGACCTTCTCCTCTCTGAAGTTCAAGTTATTATAAAGAATCGTGAACAAACCAAAAATATACGGTGGGATTATATTGGGACGTATACTTCGGAAAAACGAAAAGAATCATTAAAATATCGGTGAAAAAAAAGAAAGAAAAAAAAAATGAAAAATACCGAACCCAGCGTATTGAGAAAGATTGAATCAAATCACCCAAACGTCGTTACGCAGGAATTTCTATTGGTCATTTTCTCCAAGCAATGAACAAAGCAGTAACTTTTATTCAAACCAAGGTTTAGATTTTCAGTATTAGAAAGAAAATGACCAAGAGTGTACTGTAAAGAACCCTGCGTTAAAATCACTAGGTAGATGAAATGAGGAGGGAATGAGGAGGGAATGGGAAGTAGCTAATAACCGCGCTAAAGTGGCCTTTTTGGTGATGGAACCGCCACGCTAAGCAAGGGAAGGTGCCGCGACTTAAGTGCTTCATAATCGCTCCATCAGCACTGTGAATTGAAGACAGCCTTGCTAGGGTGATGGGTATAACTTTCGACAGCGATGGAATTTGACGAATGCACATGGTATTAATCATCCAACTTGAAACTAGTATTGCCAGTTTCAGGGGAACAACTTCCGTAAGTAAGTTGCTCCTCTAAATTCTTCCAAGTTGCTTCCTCGTTGGTTTAAATCATAATTATTTGTTGTGATTACATTACAAATTGCAAACATTCCCTTTACGTTTTAAAGCTTTGGAAAGCTTATTAATTCGGAAAAAAAAAATGGATTGATCGCTAATCTCCTCTTTCGACGCTTATAGTGATACACAAAGACACTTAAGGATATAACTGAGACGTCATGAAAAACAAACTGACAAGTGCCTCACAGTAGTAATGCATTAACAATCACTATGTATCACTTTGGCATGGCAGTGCAGTGATGGAACTTAATTTTACTTTTTCTTCATGGAGCAAGTCAGGTTTTCTGTGAACACTTTGAGAGAAGCGAATAAACGGCTAATGAGCTTTGCAATATAGACACAAAAAGAAGCTGCAACTCTTGAAACTTGAAGAGAAAAGCAAAATAGCGCATCACGGGAACATTGAATTAAAGCGAAAAGTTAAAGTCAAACATTTAACGTGCAGTTTGATAAGTTGTCTTTGGAAGAAAAGGGGAAGGTAAAGAAATAAAGTTAGTATACGTAAAAATTCCCTTATTGTTTGTGGACAGGAACTAATGATGTACATGTATAAGTGCATGGAAGATGTTTATTTTAAACGTCTGGATTAAACCACTATTCTCTAAGGGGCAAAATAGTGAGAGGGGGAGGAAAACTTGGAAGGAGAAGGGATCTGAGGGCGTTCCTGTAAGTTCTTCTCTCTTCCATTCTTTGGTCATTTTTTTGTGAAATCAGGATGATTTACTGCAATACTTAGGCCAATTCTCCGAAGAGTAATTTCCCCCCCTTTACTCGACCTTAACTTCAGGACTATGATAAATTATGTCCATTTTAGGTAATTCAGTGCTTTACTTCTCCATAATCTGTCCACGCAACAGAAATGATGCCTTCACGTAAAGACAATCTGTATATTATTCGCATGAGAGGGAGCATTTCTTCAGTTAAGCCAAGATGGTGGGAGAGCAAGGCCTTCCCTTTGTCCTCTACGCGGTATTCACTACTGCGGTTCTTGCTCAAGGAAGTCAAGGTACCGTGAAGTATTTGCTTATTGAAATGTTTCAAGAATATGCTTTTAAATACTGATATTTGATGTTCATTTTCTACGGTAAAATTGATGAAAGTTTCACTTCAACTAGTACACAGGAATCGGGGGAGGGGCGCACAAGGAAAGGGAAAAAACGGAACTATGTTCAAGGCCATTGCGCTCAAGACGTTTTGAAATTATTAAAAGATATTGCAGCCACCGTAAATAGCCCAGAAGAAACGGGAGCTTACTTTTACTAAGACACTTTTCTTCTCTTTATAATAGCAATAAGTTTCAAAGCTGGAAAAACCAACGTCACTGTCAAAAGTCCAGGGTTGTTCGCTTGTGAGACAATCACATTTGCTGAACCGTTCTCTGGTGGAAAGCAAGTAAAAGTCTTTGCTTCATTTGGTCACTCAGTTGACAACCAGGCCCGTGGCAATGGTGCTGCTATTTGGGTGGAATCGGCAGATAGAACTCAATTCCGCGCTTGTATCTACGAGTACAGCAACGGCTCAAATTCAACTGCTGAGATAAACTGGATTGCCCTACAATCTGCTCCCAAAGGAGCACAACTGGGAACCACTTCCCTGGACTCTTGGACTACCGGGACAGAATGTAAAAAAATCGACTTTCCTCAGGTACGCTTTGTTTTGCTATGATTACCTACAAGGTGCCCAGACAGGATTAATCTAAAAAAAGCAGAAACGGGTGAGTCATGCAAGGTATAGTTAAACGATGTAACTCACGACCGCAAATGCGAATCCTCTTAAGGAGCTTAACCAGTTTTTCAATCAATGAATTTAGGAAGAAATTTGACGTCGCTAAAGTTTCAAGTTCAATGACCTATATACTATGTACATGCTATCATGCACGGACTTCATGATTTAACGAGAAATGATAAAAGTCTAAAAGGTGAATCGTTAGTTTGCTTTCAGGACGATTAATACAATGAAACAGCTTACTTTGTACTGTGATATTTTGTTGCTCGGCTGTTCGCATTTGTTTTCCTGTATTTTGTTTGTCGTTTTTTTTTGAATGCGCATTATTATAAAGATGTCCACTCCATGACCCACACTAGCCCACTGATATTATCACTTACCCCCACCCCCCAACTTCAAACCCTCTCACTCTTTCATCCGTATTTGATTATTACACTCCCATGTATACCTTCAGTCTAAAAGCAATAAAACATTGCCATTAGATGTCAGTTCTTACGCTCGCCGCCGTAAATCGATTTAGAGAATCTTTTATGAAATATAATCATTGAACACGGTACACGAACTGAAACTAAATTATTTAGGGATGATAGAAGATATAACTTGTATTTTTTGCAATATTTGTTTTGTAATTTAAATAACTTTACACGTTGTAATTATATTTTACCGTGGCTGGTATTTTGTTTGTAAAATATTTTTGTCCTTTCCTCACGACTTCAAAGTGAGTGTCTCCTTCCACGAGAGGTTTTTTCTGCATGTGGGTGAAAGCCCGCGTAATTTCATGAATCGCGCTTAAATAAAATTGAAAGATTCTTCTTGTTGTAAATGCAGCTGCTGCTGTTGTTGTTGTACAGAGATGAAGCACTGTTTGCTAGATTTCTCGATTTAACTTAAGTCACGGTCCCTGATTATAATTGTTGGTGTTCACACCGTAATGAATGAGTTGTAAATTTCCTTTGCCTTTTTTTTTTTTTTTCAGGGTCCTTTAACTCATTCATCCTTTTTCTTTCCTTTTTTAAGCGTTTTGCGACTCCTCCAATCGTACTTGCGATTCCTAGTCACCAGTTTCCTGAGAGACCTCAAGACGCCATGGCAGCCGGTGTGGGTGGAGGAGTTGACCGAAGACAGTTTTAAAATCTGTCTTAAGGAAGTGAAAATTTTCGACGGACTTCACAAAGGCATTGCTATTGTAAGCATTGTTTAGAAACTTTTTTAAAGACCTGTATCCAATTGCATCGACTTTTCTTAGCTAAACATACATTGTATTGTATATCTGTCTGGATTTCATATAAGGTGCCTGTACTGAGTCTCTAGACGGTCAACTCCAGCCATTACTCACCCTCCCCACCCATGAAGCTTATGACTAGTCAGTCACTTCTCCCAAGCTCTGCTAGTAGTGTTATGATTATGAGTCACCGCATTGATTTGGCTGGCCAACTGGCCACAGGAAAAATTCTCTGACTTTGCACTACTTTCTGACATAAAACTCTAACTCTAAAGTGACAAAATCTCCCCTCCCTACCCCCCTGGTTTCCACTCAAAACAAGGAAGCCACCCACGGATAGGTCTGGGCCAGGGCTCACACTGGCGTGAACACTGCCGATGCCCGTGTTCAAGCGAAAACTTAGCGGGCCCGTTTTAGCCAAATCACACAGATATAAATTTACCAGAATACTTACAAAAATAAATAGTCGAACTAACCATACATTTTTAGTTTTGAAATATCATTCCTCGCAGTTATTCCTTTATTAGTGCCTAAACTACATAAAAAAGGACAAATATGTGTATAAAGTACATACAGTTATAAGAAAGTAATTGGTTCGATTAGAACAACCCTCAAGACATTTGGTGAAGAAAGCAAACAAAAACCAAGTTAAAAAAAAAAAAACAAAAAACAAAAAACAAAAACTGTCAGTGCAATCAAATCTCTGTTACCATGTGTACATGAGTAAAGGTACTCAAATTAAATCTTACCAGAAGGTTTTATCAAATGATATACTTCGGTTATCGACTCAGTACTGGTTTTATTAAACTATAATCAGGTTCCTACTTGAGTAAAACTTCTATATATAGAGACTGGCGCCTGTTTCTCGAAAGTCCGGATAATTAACGGGCCCGGTAAGCTGTCTCCGTTTACACTAAAGATCGAGGTTTCAATAGTTTTGCGTCTAACACGATAAAACTGCCAGTTAATGAAACAAAATGGAGTAGTTTGCTGGCCAAGACTCTTATTCTTTATACTACGATTTGAATATTTGATTTCGGGCCCGTAAAGGTACTGGGACTTTCGAGAGGAAGGCCTCTGGTCCCATTCCATGGATAACTGAATCACTAACCTTAAATGTCGTTTTCGTTGTTGTAGAACTGGATGGCTTATACAAACCTCCGAGTTGATAACTTCACCTTATCTGACAGTCTTGTGTTTACGGAGAAAAACTTGCCATCTCAGCAGATTGACTATGCCTTTTGCCAGGTAAAGTGTATATACTCTTATTACTTACTTACTTACTTACTTACTTACGTACTTACTTACTTAATTAACTGATTAATTAATTAATTTCTTTATTTATTCATTCGCTTTTTGATGATTTACAATTGTACCATGAATTTCACTTATGTATTCTAAACGAGAGATCCTCTCTAAAGCAGAAACGTAGTTAACCCTTTCACTGCGAAATGTGGCCAAAGGGATATTTCCACCAAATTTCCAACTTTCATTTTCTAAAATTTGGACAATGCATCATGTGAAAGTACAGGCAGAGAGCTTTCACATCATAGGATTTCGTCCATAGACTCAAAAGTTAGAGTCACCTTACAAAACTCCATCAAACACTCTGACAGTGAAAGGGTTAAATAAATGGTGATGATAATGATCATGGTGATGATGTTGTTGCTGATGATGATTATGATGATGATGAACTTAACTATCACTCGTTTGTAAGTTAATTGAGTCGAGGTTCAGTCAGTTGATGTTGAGATTTTTTAATACTTTGCTTTTTTTCATTTAGTCATCAATTAACTGCAAAAAAATGACGGTAAAAAGCTATATATTTTTGTTACAGAAAATCAACTTTACAGATCATTTCTACGCCCCCCCAGTGGTAATGGTGACAGCTGAACGAGTTAACAACGATTCACATTTGTCTGGATGTAACGTAATCACCGCTTGGGTCGAGGTAAAAATAGGAACAGACTTGTCGACAGCATACCCCAGTGTTGTCGGAGGGTTTTTTGAAATACTACAAGATCAGACAAGTGTTATTGTATTTTTCAAAGAAATGGCTAATTACTTGAATAAAATTTTTAAGCGAAAAACCAATATGAAAATAAGGCAGACAGTTAGTAATCAGATCCTCCAATTGATTCCTCAATT